TGCAATACAAAGCAATTATCACTGCTCCTTGAGAGGCCATGTAGATATATACATATTTTCTAAATAAGCCTTTAGTCATTTTCTCTGTTGAAAGAGAAGCTAATTTATTGTCAGTAATTAATGCAGCTTTGGTTATATTAAGATACATCACTTAGTTGTGAATGGCTTGGGAGACAGCACTACTTAATTTGCTGTGACTTTCCCTGGTCTCTGTGAATGACTATGACTAAGACACTTAATTTTCTTCTGTAGCAGCCACTTCCTTGTTAGTATTTTCTGTCACTATGATCAGTTTCTTCTGAAGTCATAACCTCAGCATTTTATTATGGACAACTAAAAATGTCCCCTCTGAAAATGAGAAAATTTGGAGAAATTATTGTTAAGCCTTATAAAACATTTCCTTTGTCATTGCATAAACTGCAATGTCTATTGCTCTTTCCCACATATTTTGACTTCCTGGAATATTATTATCATAATCACAATTATAATCCATATAAGGACATAAACTTTTCCAGGTAGAAGTACATATAATACACCTAAAATTGACCTTAGCATCAATCATAGATCTCAATGGTAATTATCCAGCACTTTGTATCCTGAGTGACTAGAGCTCATGTATTTTCCTCTGCACAAATAGTTTCTGTTCCACAATAGATACATGGGATGAAGTTTGATTTATAAAAGACAACATTATTTGCTGATTTTTATGTAAACAAGAACTAGTCTGAAAATACATTTCCTTTTTTTTTTTTTTCTTTTTTTTTTGCACGGTAGAGACAGCTGTTATTTATGGAAACAGAATCTTTACATGTTGGGGGAATATAAATTCTTGCTGCTTGGAACCTAACAGAGTGGACTTGGTCTTAAACAGAAAAGTGATGTGAAGAAGGAAACAGCTTTCAGCAAAGCAGACTCAGTCATGTGGAAGTTACTCTGGAGACTAACCAAACTCTGTCAAAAAGCTCCCAGTTCTTTGCCTTACTCTAAGCAGGTCCTTCAATTTTCAAGCAGTAAAGAATTTGAAGGAGTCTTCTCTTTCAGTTCTCCTCAAGGTCTCACTTTAGCCTTGCTAAAAATAAGTAGGGACAGAGTCTCAGTTTTTCAGTTTTGCTATGGGTTTCTAAAATATTTTTCAGCAGCTGAGAACACAGGAAAATGTAGAAGTGGCCTGACACCTGCCTCCATGGACACTGGTGTAAAATCAGAGTTCCAGCATCACATTTATTTACTTGTACAATGTGAGATCAAGCCAGATTTATATATACTTTAAACAAGAATAGGACAAAAACAATTTGGATTTTGCAGTAAAAACAAGATGTACTGAGAAGCTGGTTTTGCTTAGCTTTCTCTGACACTTAAGACTTTCCCTGACACACACCACGAATTGGCTGAAACAGAAACTCCTTGGGAATAGGGGGTGATATCAGCATGTTACAGAAGGAAGGAGAAAGCTGTGTGCCTGTCACTCCCTGCACCTGATGGCCCTGCCCCAGGTGCACTGCAGAGCACTCAGGGTAGGTTCCTAAACACAGGGCAAGCTCAGGAGGGCTCTGTTTTCCCACCAACAGCAACAGACACTGACTGTGCTTTGGAAACAAACACCTCTGTCCTTCCTCAGGACAGCTGGATGCTCACACCCAGCTTCCTCCTCAGCTAGCAGGCTCTGTTCAGGCAGCTGAACTCACCTCACTGCCCCTTCTCTACATTAACTTTGCTGCAGAGATGAGTTTTGAAACAAACAAGTATCAAGAGCTGTTACGCGGCAACACAAAGAGGACTCCAGTGAATGTGTTTGTAGATCTACCCCTAAAATGTGTAGAGGAAAAAAAACCAAACCCCAAACATTTTTCACATATTCAATGTTACTCTGAAAAATCTATTGTCTCTTTATCCTGTTTGCATGGCAAGCCTAAATTCAAGTGATTGCCCCTGGAGTAGCTGGATTGATCAAGAAATTCAAACACAAGAGCACTTACCAGCAAATCTCAGGGGTGGCAGAAATAAAAACACTGCTCAACTTTATTCATCAACCTTCCTTGCTTTTTCTGCATCTTCACAAATATCTGCTAAAACTATTCTTGGGGCTTCACGCTTAATAGGAAGCAGCATCAGTAAAAATTCAGGTCGAGGACAACAAGGCAGGATGGTTATGATGGAAATTGCATCTGAAAACCTTCTCTCTTAATGTCAGTGTGGATCTCCACATTAAATTGTACGAGAGGCTCAGGGCAATGATGCAGAGGCATTAATGGTTAATGCAGTGGGACATGCTCCCTTGTAATTGCCTCCTGTCATTTCTGCAGTGCCTGGGAGATACTGGGAAGAGACAGAGCCCAGTTTACAATCCCACGTCAATGGATCTTCTCAAACTCTGAGGTAATTTTTCTTCTTGAATGAATTGTCAAACTCTATTGTATTAGCAAGTTTACCTGGAGGGGCTTCACCTCTGGTTGGGAAAAGGAAAAAGGGACTTCTTGCCAAAAAGTTAAAATTCTTAGGAAAGAACAGTAGCAAAAAAAAAAAAGCCATGACCTGGGACAGTACTTTTGGCTGGTGTAAATAGAATTCAACTATCCAGTGAGAGTTTTCCTCTAATGGAACTGATGTAATTGCTCCCCCTCATTTACATATGTTGCATTTGGCCTGTGACCTGTTCTGAGGAAAATAAGCACTCAGAGATAGAAAGGACACAGAAAAGAAGAAAAGGAACAAACACTATGACAACAAAGTAATCGAAAGGCCAAGAGAAAATGGAACCTGAGCAACAATGGAAGCCTTATGTCTAAAGTAAAGACATATTTTAAAATAAAATAAATACTTTTAGGGCTCTAAAGGACAGTTCTGGCACTGAGTACACAGAGACCAGCCATAAAGAAGGCGAAGCATTTCATTTTATTGAATAATTCCAGGAAATTTTTCAGATCTGTTAAATATTACTAAAGAGATAAATTATACTGGGAATTATAACTTAAAAACTTATATTGATATAAATAACCTGCTTATAAAACTGTGCACTACTTTTGCCATCTTCTCATGGCAACTCTGCTTTTCTATCACTTTTCCATCCACAGTACTGAGTGTTATGCACATATCTTTACTGATCAGTGCAGGTCTCTGTGCTATCTTTCCATCAGCTGCAGTGAATTCAGATCTGTACAATACTCAGCATAGCAAAGACATACCCATGCTGTGGTCTTCTCAGCACTCTCAGAGCACACTCTGTGCCATTTCACCTTCTGGGGTTCAGCTCACTGTGCCTGCACCTGCCATTTGGCCAAGGACTGCCAGTGTTGCAACGACAGTGCAGAACTGTTAAACATCCTCAAACTCACAGCCTGAAGTCTCCCTGAGACTGCTGCACACACAGTAGGAAGCATATTCAAACTCATCAGGGAGAAGAAGGGAAAAAAAGAAAGTCATCCTGGGAGATTCATGGAGTTGTTGGGGCCACCAACAACTCTTCAGTAACAAACAACAACCAAGTGTTGAAGTCTAAATGTGCAAGTTAAAGGTTTCAGTGGAAACAGCTCCTACTTATTTTATCTTTGTGCTCGTGAGCTACAGCGGACCAAGATCCATCTTACTGAGTTCTGTGCCTTATCTCCAAAACTGAAGTAACCTTCCTCCTGCTCTAATGGTTTCACATCTCTTTTCCTCCTTGGAGGCTTCCTTTCTCAATCTTCAACCTCCAAGAGCCAAATTTTAACACTCATGCTCTTAACAAAGAAAGAAATCAACAAATAAGTAATTAGATCAAGTAATTAGATACACAAATAAAAGCCTGAAATAGACCTACACTACAGATATCTCTCAAATCCTCATGACAAACACCTAAGAAGCTTGAACTGCTTACTTGCCTGTGGGGCTGGGAATATTCACTGTTGCCCTTCACTAAATTCTGCTTTCATCTAATCACTCTGTTTCAGGATGAAATAGCTCTGAAACCTCAGTTATCTGTCACAAAAGAGCTTTATTACTTTTATAATCTCTGTTAATAGAGACGGTTTAAAATACTATTTCCTAGAAATACAAATTGGCAGAAAATACCTCACTATTTAATATCACATTTCAAATGTTGCTAACAAAATTCACTAATGGGAAAATAAAAGAACACTTGAGCCTGGGTCATCCTCAACTAGGAAAAGAGATCAAGGATACCAGCTCATGTTGTTCTGGGTTGGTATGACTTCCTGGTGGCCTTCCATAGATTCTCAGGTAGCTGCAGCATCATTAGTCTGGTCTGCTCGTTTGGGGGACTAACCTGAAGACATCAGGATTATCCCTGGTATTGCCTAGTATTGCAAAGAGATAAAGAACTCAGATACTTTCCTTCAATCCATCATGAGGCCTTGTTAAACAAAAAAGACATGGGGGAAGAGAAGATACACAGGTGGGAGTCAACTCCCCTCTTAAATGAAGGGTCGCTGTTTGCCAGAATAGTGATCCAGCCTTATACAGTGACCACCCCTCACCCCCAAATGACATCATTACAAAACACAGCAGAAAATTGTTTCCACCTTTTCCAGGGATCTGGCACTGGCACCAGAATTCAATATTGTCCAGTACTCAGAATTCTAAGATCTCTTTTCAGAGGCTTGTAACTAAACACATATGAAGTGGGCATGAGAGAAGAATCCTGAAGAGAATTATTTTGCATTCTTCACAGGGTTTGGAAGCTGATGAAGCTTTAAAAGCCTCCACTAAATATAGAGATTAAAAAATACATTCTTAGTAACTAAATGCAGCAACAGGCCTATGGGGGACACAAAATCTGATCATTCAGGTAAAGAGAGCTTTGTTGATGTAAAACAGAAGTGGTTTCAGGTTGTATCGGTCAGCTTAAATAATTTCCTACCTTTTGACCTCTGTGTAATTTTAAAACTTTCTCTTTTTGAGTCAGTGATTTTTTTTAGATACAACTTTTAGCTTTACAGTTTAATTCTGGTACTTTGAGAGACTGTTTTCTGTGTCAGTTATATTCACAGGTAGAGAAAACCAACTCAAGGAACAAATTAAGATATTTATTTTTGCTTTGTTACAAATTTGGGGGGGGATTTTCCATTAAATGCATTTAACAGACAACCTATTTGCACTCAGGCCTTTCAGCATTTTAATACGCTAAAATATATACTTTTGGTGCCATACAAATTATGGTTAAAAATAATTCTCAAGGACATACTGAGGGGACAAGAACTTTAAGCAAAATAACTCAAGTTGAAATAGTCAATTCCCTTCAACAGTGGTTTCTATTTCATGAGATTATATTCTTTACACTAGCAAACTATATACAAACAATACCACAAAACTACCATAAGTGCAAAAATGTAAAAAATATACACAAACATATACACAAATTGCCGTGTTTCTGTCTGAGCTACCTTACAGTTAAGAAACCCAGTACAAATGCATGATTTGTATTTATGTATTTGACTTGTAAGTATCTAATATTTAATTGTAAACAAGATTCAGCATGTAGAGCAACTTAAAACAGTTGTCAGAAGCATAAATCATGAGGCCTGGAGACTGAAGAACTGTGCACACTAGGATCCCAACTGACATAGATACCCACACTTTTTCTGACTTATCCTGCAGGGGCATTTATGGTACTTAAAAGATTTGGATGTATTCATCTACTCTAAACAAATTCTTGGATTTCATTCTTTTACAAAACGCATACATTTCAATATTCAAAGGAAAATCAGCATCACATTTGCAGGTGTGTAGATTTTCATGTTTGGTAAGAGTATCTTGTTCATTACCATTGAATAGCTTTTTGGTTTATTAAGAAATCTTTCTTGGCAACTCAATTAAGGAACAGTAAATGAAAGCAAGCAATGGATGTTCACAATCAACCACTTAGTGAGCAAATAGAAGCAGACACGTCCCTTAAGCACAGATGAACTCACGGGGGATTTATCCAGTGAGTCACTGACAATGCTGTTCATTAGGCAAGTACACATAGGGCACACTGCACTGCTAAAAACCAGCAGGATTTAGAAGAGATAGTGGAAAGAAAATGGAAGTTGCCTTTGCATTGATGTGATGATTTGCTCCTCTCAGTCACTGCTAAGATTCTTAGCAAGAATGGTTTGTTTGTTTTACAAAAGATGGCTATTTTTCAGGTACTTCCAGGCCACTCATCCATGTTTTATTTGAAACACCTGGATATTTAATAAAATCCAGGATGACAGTTCTATTAGGATGGTGCTGAGCTAAGTAACAGGAATAACAGTAGTAGTGTCAGGGTGTTTGGACAGAATTAAAGCATTGTCTATGCCAGTTTAAAGCCTCTACAAATATGAAAACTGCCCATATCTATAGCAACTGATTTCAATGGAAAATTCAAGTACAAGAATATTCTTTACAATCTCCTTGTGCTAATGGAAAATACAGTAATGTTATCCATAAGCTTCCATTTCCAGGGAATATGTCTCACTTTGTGTATTTTTTTAAGTGCTTGAAAATTCTTACAGTATTGAGCAGAGCATTTGATGAATCCCTTCTCGTACATGATACTTTTTGATTTAAAACACAAGCTGAGCCCTACAAGACACATTCTTCAAACTAGTCTTTACACTAAGACTAGTTTGGTAAGTTTTGTGATTTTTTTCGGTTTTTTTTAAACATTTCAAACACTGCAACAATGCAGAAAATATATATACCCAAAACTAGAAAACCATTTCCAAAATAAAATGTTGAAAAAAAATTTAGAATCAATTTCACTGAAAAGCCCCAATAAAGTGCAAGCAGCAAATGAGAGGGTTTACATAGTGAAAAGTGAAGTTTAATAAATTTGTACAATCTGTATTGCTGACAATGAGAGACACGCTATAAAAATGTTTTACCTTGACATCATGCCCTCATATAAAAATATATTCTAGTTACCTTGCAGTACAGTTAGATCTTGACAGAATTGAAAAAGAAAAAAAACAATGAAATGCCACTTCTTTTCAGCAGTGTCTGAAAGGCAGAAAATATGTAGATTTATGCTAATTAAGTGGATGAACTGGATTAGCTATTTACTAGTACCAGCTAATTACTAGTATACTAATTCCCATTGAAAAAGGTGCATTGCTACTTACTTGCATTGATTCACCACCACTTCTTGAGAAGGCATTCAGGAGGTGCCACATTGCCAACATGGAACTCATTCCTGTGCAAAATGCTCATGCTTTGAGCTCTCATTAAAGCAAAGCTCTCTAATTACTGAACAGAAGTATGCGCTACAGCAAGTATTTTTACATCAGAAAATATTTTAGGTTATTAAATCTGCAGGTATTTTTCCTCTCAAAAGCATCTCCTCCTGCTTGCAAGTCATTTAGCTGAAATAAGCAGGTTTTCAGTGCACCACAACTTCAATGATTCCAGTGAATTGAAACACAACTTTATAATATCACCTGTCACCCTATGCAGGAATTTGTTTTTACCTGGAACTTTGTTTCATGAAAAAAATAGAGCAGACTGCAGAAGTCTTCCTAACAGAGGGGATGTTTTCAAATCATTTACTGTCCAGCCAGATTCTTTGGTGTTCAGGAATACCTAGTATAGTATCAGCATGAACAAGCAGCAATTTTTTTTCCTTCATATACTCCTGCTTGTCCCTTAAGGCCCATCAGCAAAGTTTCTGCTAGAGGCAGGTTAATTGAACAAAGAATGAAAATACTTCCTCATCACCCTTTGAGACTGAAGTCTGATCAATAGCATCTGATGTCCCCCTTTCAGTGGGGACTTTCCACACGGCATATGGGCAGGATTTCCACTTATGACTAGCACAGAACTATAACAAATCTACATACTGGCTAGTCATTTAAAGTTTCATCTACTGAAATTCAAAATGAGTACTTTTCTATTCAAAAGAGTCTTTACTCTTTATTCTCCAGTTTTCGCTAATACAAAACAAAAGAAAGTTCATTATTGCACATCTATCGCCAAGACTTTCAACTGCCCCAAAATGGTGCAATGTCAGGTGCTTAGTAAAGCTCTGTGGAGACACATGTCACCTACTAAATGGTAAATAATGTCAGTACCAACTTGGATTTTAGAAGCTTTGCTGTCCTTTTTTGAAAACCTCTCACCGGTTCCCAGTTTCATTAGGACCCCAAATACTCACTATCAAATAACTGATGACACACAATCTAAAGTATGAATACCTTGTGAGAGCAGCAACTCTCCAACAATATGAACTTTAAATAAAAGCAGATTACTAAAATAAAGTCTGTATAGCCTTCTAACTATGAAATTATGAAATAATTTGTTTTTACTAATGATTTTTCATTCTTACAAAGAACTGTTGGCGACAATTAGAATTAACTGTTTTCCTGAACAGTAGATATTTTTAGCATTGTAATTAGTGTAACAGTAGACAAAAAAAAAATTTTACATATAATGAGTTTAAATAAATTTAAGACACTTTTCTGTAGGATCATCATCAAATGATGCTCTTTTCAATAATTTGTGTAAGCTTCTAAACCACATAAAGGATAATGCACATTACATTTTATTCACACTATAAAAAAGCACAATATACAGGCCATATCCTTTAAAGTGCAACACAACAGAACATTTCTGCAACATTCAGGTTCTTCAAAAACCCACAAAAGTAGGTATTTAATAATTAGGAACAAATTCTGTTCGTAGGTGTATTGACACTGAATCTAAACTCTGAATGGTTATCAAGCTTGTCCTTGCTGTAAGTGCCACGCTAAAAGCGATGCTTATGACCATTAAACAGTATTATCTTATCTGCTTCCATATTAGACAGCCTCATGTCTCATGTCCACAATGAAAGCTTTTATCCTTTAGTCAGTGAAGAGCATCTGCAGAGCCCTTTATTGAAAACAGTTCTTTGACTATGCTCAGAAAAACTCTTTAAAGTCCACTTAGCTTCACCATACAGGCTACTGCTTCAGATGTCAAATCTACCACAAAAAATATGGTAAATGGAGCAGAGCAAGCATGTCTCTGAGTTGGCAGCGCATGCTTCACTATGTTTGGCACTATCTACCAAATGTATTGGTAACACACAGTACAAGCACGTACCAATTCGCTTTTCACTTCATAAATATTTTTGGTTGGATGTTTTGCTAGTAACAGTTGGAAAACCTCATTTGTTCCTGAGATGAGCATGACAAAACAAAGTGAGCTCCATCTAAAGCTGCCAACAGGACATTCTTCTGCATTTCCAGCCTTGCTACCTGCCTGCTGAGCCAGATTTACAATCTCAGTCCTCCCCAAGGCGCCACTTCTGAGATTCTTCTTGACGCACATCTGGCCTGATCTGGTTTCTCATTCCACCCAGGACATTGGAGGTGGCCTCTGTTGCAACAATGAAAGGTTTCACCACGGTTGGTGGGATTTGGCGGAGGACTCCTCCTACTGCTCCAGTGACTCCTCTGTTCTCATGCTCACGAGCAGCAGTCTCATAGATGGTTTGGGCTGTGTCCGTAATCCCCTTTAAGAAAATAAAGGGAATCAGTTACACTAAAAAAGAAAAAGCAACCTTTCCTAGTTTTAAGGGAAATTTTAAACTGCTCAGCATTTTTCTTCTTGGTGATTCATATTTTAACTGTAGTAAAACAATACTGATATAAATACGATTTTGTTCCTTCTAATGAGGCTTAAAATAACACTTCTATGGACTTAGAGATGTAAATATTTCATTTTATATGGTGGCACATCTTGTGCATAAAGGTAGAAACTTTGGGATACTGTAAACTACTGAAAAAATGACAAAATTCTCTGGAAACTCAGCTGACACCTTACTTCATAGACACTACATAAGGTGCAACAAACAAAGTAAAATACGAAATATAATAAAAACAGGTCAGCATTCTAATTTATAATACTCTGTCATAGTAGAGAAAGGTTTCACTTCTTTTAATCCTGCATTATGCTTAAACTCTACTTCCCTCACAATTAACAGCAACTGTAAAGGTGGTTGAGCAGAAAGGGAAGGGATGGGAAGGTGGGATGACACAGCACAGGAAATCAAGTTTACATGGCTCAGAATAATTGTAAGCCATCACTCAAGTCCTGCTCACACTCATCTGCCTGACATCTTAGGTTTCTCCTTTTTCCATTCAAGATTTCTGTTGGTTTAAGATAATTGATGAAGACAGTCTTGTTCAAAGCTGAAACCTCCTTCTCCATTTGCTCAGCCTAAACTAACATATGTTATTTTGTAATGCCATTTTAGGAAATATTCTTAACTTTGGTTCCCAACAATTGGTTCTGCACTCACCTCTTTCACAACACTGTAGGCTTTGGCTACCCCCTCCCGCAGGTCGACCGGCTGAGGAGCCAGGCGATGGCGAGGGAACCGTTTGATCTTTTTTGCTTCAATGAAGGTAGGCCCTGGTGATACCATGTCATAAGCAGTTTCTGCAGCTGCCTGCACATCAGGAGCAAATGCAAAACAGGTGTTATAGCACCTGATCACAAATTTTAACTACTAATATGGTGATGTCACTGAAATAAAAGAATTCTTATTCCATAAATAATATTCATTTGCATCAGATTACAGTTTTGTATAAGAACTTCTGGAATGTGCAGCTCTAACTATACATTAATTCCATAATGAAGGAATGAATGTTGTAGGTTTGGGTGGGGTTTTCTCTCCTTCTAATTGTTATCTCTTTAAAGGCATCCTCTAAACTGCATAAAATGCTCAAGATAGAAACTGAACATTTGATCAACGATTTATAAACGCACAAGCACACATATAATCCCACTTGTGATTAACAGCACTGGTTTTCTGACTATATATGTCCAAGCTAAGGTATATATATTATTTTTGCAAGATTAGGTGGTAAAACTGTATTTTCACTGTATTTTTTATATTAAGAAACATAAATTTATTAACACTTTAATCCAAGATTCCCTTAGTGTTAAATGCAGGAAGATTTACAGACACTGTGTAGATCTACAGAAATAGTATTAGTTTGGGTTTTTGGGGGGGTTTTTTGGCTGGTTTTGTGGGCTTGTTTTTTTAAAAATAAGCAGAGAGAAGCTGATGTTTTATAAAAAGGTAAGAATCTACTACTGGATAACACACATGCAACAAAGAACTCATCTTTCTCAGCATCAGCGATTTTTTTAGAGAAGCTGAACATTTTCATATTAAACTACACATTGCAATGCATTAAAGACATTAAGAAACAAGCAGCAGCTTACGTGTTCAGCAGTATTTTAACAGTTTTCTAACCATTGCATTTGATACCATAGTGCTCACCTCACAGACTGCTGCAAACTTTGTCCAGTCTCTGCTTTCCTATTTATACAGCTGCCTTTTCTTTTTTAATAGATGCTCCCTAGCTTAAATCTATAGCATTTAGACATTAGCTTAATACAGAGCACTTACAAGACACACTTTTCATTTCATTTTACACCTAACTTCTGGAGTAATACACTCTACCTGTATAGTCTGAACCATTCTGTTTGTCAGCTCCAGTGCTGCCATGGCAGTGGAAGTACCAAAAGAAGCTGCTCCTCTTTGAAAGCCTCTGACAATACGACCGTCCTTGCGGTACTGCTCTATTGGCAGCCACACCAGGTCTTTCAGACCTTGCACTGAAAATGAAGACACAACACCCAAGTCAGGCAGTTCTCTTACATATGCAGAATGCCTTGAAAGGAAGTGAAAACAAAGAGTCAACATGGTTTGTGTTGGTTTTTTGAGAGGGGAGAGGTGTTCTCTGGTTTTTAAAGAAACAAACACATTCATAGGTAGCTGAACAAAAGTCAGAATTAACTTACCTAACTGCACAAGCGAATGCATAGGCCCTACTCCTCCCAAAATTCCTGGTAGCTGGTTTTTCTTTATATCATTAAGCCATTCACTGATGGCATAGGAGAATAATTTATCCACACCTAATAAACTAAAGTAAATACAAGGATTATTTTTTTAAAATAAACAATTCCTAATAAGACAAATGCATTCATTATTCACTGATATAAAAGATGTCATTTAAACAAAAGGAAAGCTTCATCAAATGTCTTTTGTTGCTGTTGGCTAAGCCAAGTATTTAAATTGTACGTGCTTCATAAAACAAACTCAAAACTGCATAATCACATCCAGTTCCATAGGAAGTGAACATGCAACTAAAATGAAAGTTTATCATCAAGAATAGCACATATATTAAATTCTGTTCTGAGTTAGAAGTTCTTGAATTATATACATTTGAAAAAAACCTAGAATCAAAAAGTATTCTGGATTTAAGAAGGGCATCTTAAGAGGAAATTTGCTCAAATTTGCAAATTTGCAATAGCAGCAATTTTGAGAAACTTACCCATGTCTATAGCAAAGCCTCTTCAGCTTTAATTCTGAGCAGTTCAACTGAGCAAGCCCAATAAGAATCCCAGCTAATGTTCCCTGTAAGTGAAATATTTTGTTATCACGTACATTTACTCAACCCATACAACCTGTGAGAAATAATTTCATCATCTCAACTCTTACTTACAAGTATTCTGTCTAAATATTCTCTCCCAGTCTCCCAAATGTGACTCGTCACAGTGCTATGAATCATGTTACATGGAAACTTGCAAAAAAGGAAACTTGGCTTAACCTGCTACTCAAAGAAAAATACCTGGATACAGGAGGGCTTCTTCAGAAATAATAAACTATAATAAATTATGCAAACATAGTTCTGGCTTTAGTGTGTCCCAGGCATTCTAAAGCTACCATATTTCATGTTTCATTTCTGATATCTCGGCAAATTCAAGAGGTTCCTGCTTTCCATATTTTCTTACTGATTTGCCATGATAAAGTACAAGTGTTTTTGTGCAACAGGATTTTTTTATGTCAGATTCTAAACTCAGTGTGATAAAGAATGCACATTTTAACAAGAACCATGGGCATTTTTTTCATCTGTAACAAATTCTGCTATTGCCACTGAGGCCTATATATTACTAGACTGCAAGGAAAGGAAACAAGGACAATAAACAACGCTATTTTGTTCTGGCATCAATGAGGAAAAAATAAAATAAAATGCACAATTATGGCATCAGACAGCGATATCATACTTTGAGGGTCACTGCAGCTCTACACTATGATTTCAAGCCAACCACGGAGCTCACAAATGTGACATTCAAGTTCTATCCTGGATTAATCATATTGGGGTATCCACCCCTAGTTTTCCAATTAGGAGTGAAATGAGGTTAAGCTTTACTAAAACTAAGGCGGGGGGGAAGTGTTTTATATTTGTCACAATAACATCGTTAATGAGTAGGGAGCATAAAAATATACCCCCATTCATGGGGAGCAGGGAGGGGAGAGCAAAACAAACAGCATCAAGTTTTTGTTCTATAGTATCAGTATTACACACAAACCTGATCCATGGAGACATGCTTGCCATGGTAATCAAGCCGTATTGGAACTTCTGATGTAAAGCGAAATTCTCTGGGACACAGAAAGGAAATATTATAGTGAGAAACATGAAAAGGAAATGAAATTATCCTTCTGAAAAGAAACTCATGGTTTCCCACTCTCCTGGAATAGGATATCATACCCTTTTCTGTAAACCATAAATCTTTCTATTACTGTGTTAGTACTTCAGAATAAATGTACAAAACACAATGGCAAATTCAGCTTTTCTTGGTTTATTTACATATATTTCAGGTCAGCATTTGCAATAAATTTTAAAGTCTTGCAAATGTGTTACTAATCCTCCAAGTGAAAATGTTTAAAAAAAAAACCCAAAACCAAGCAAACACCACAAAATGATGGTTCTGTGGGCAATATTTGCTTTCTACAAGCAGCCAATAAACAAAAAAATGCACCTTGCCTGAAGGACTGGAATAATTTATTACCACACTTTCTTAAAACTTTTTGTAACAAAAGTTTACCTGAAAAATACTGGCTGATCACTGTACGATGTTGTTTCTTGTGAGAACTGATCATCCTCTCCATTAACTACATCCATGGAATCAATGCTGCCATTCTCATTTGCTTGCTTGTGTGATGCAAAAGAAATGACTGGACTTGGTTCCTTAAGGCTGCTGACATGCCTGGGCAAACTACACGTAACTTCAGCACCAGGAGACTTTTTGACTAAGAAAAGAAGTTACACACAGTAAAGTGACTCATATTTTTCACAGTGATTACACAGAGATTGTATTAAACAATTACTGCATCCTTAGTAAGTTCTAATGCTTATTAGTAGGAACTAGCAGGGCAATATTTAGATTCTCTCAGTTTTTGATAGAAGTTATTACATGCAGCTGAAGTTGAGGTTAGTGCATCAGCATAAATAATGTATCTGGTTCTAATGGCAGTACTGTGAGTGCTTCATCACCTATGCATTTCAGCATGACACCCCAACAGGAATAGGTAAAGAAAGTATAGCTGCTAAGAAATATCCAAATATACTTAATAGTGGAAATGTGCTTTTCAATATATACTGCTTTTGCATAAGATAATGTAATTGATAAGAAGTACTGCTTCAATAATAGCTTGAAGTTGTCTAACACAGAATTCAATTTTATAAATAAGCAGGACAAAGTATTAGTTTTATCTAATAATAACTCCTAATAGCACATGCAGCCCTCAATTTTTCCAGAAGCTCTTATTAAATATCCTCCAATTTTGGTTCAACCTCCTTTTAGAAAATTAAGATTATGGGTGTCAAAGACCTTTGTTCATATTTCTAAAATAAAAAGCTTAAATACCAAAGGCTTTTGAGTTCTAAAAAAAAAAATCAGTCATTAATGTCAGTGCTCAAACCCCCACACAAGTTTTTATACACACAAGATTCACATGTGAATTTATAAAATAACTGTACCCAAATTAAAGGACAAAGAAGCAGCACTTTTATGTTAGATTTTTTTAGAAATATACCTTCAGGATCTGGAGTAACTAAGAGTTCTACTTCTGTAGAAAGGCTAGTGAAAAAGTCCTTCAGGAAAAACAAGGCATCCTAATGGCAAAAAGTAAAATAGAATCAGGTTAACATAAATACAAAGACTTTAATTCTCTAAAAACATTATCTACAATTCCAGATCTATTTCTATGCAGATATGAAACAAAACTTTCTTTTTTCTTTTTGATCCTTTAACATATGTATAAACCACAAAGAAATCTAGGACAGAAACCAGAAGGCACTCTTAGCCTCTGCATCCTGTTCCATATAACAGGATTTAATGATCTATCTAGCTTGGTCTTAAAAGTTCAGGGTTATTTTCATAATTCCTACTCTCATTTTTGAGACTGTTCCAGTACTGAGTTCCAGAACTCAGTTATAAACTTTTTTCTGATTTGCAGCAGAAGGTATTTAAATATTGTTTATATTCCTCTCTAGGACTGTGAAAGTCAATCAAATCATTACAAATCAGGGTTCCTCTCTGCTTCATTAAAAGTCATTAATATCTGTGGTATTCATGTCTTAATAATGCCATAAAGCTATTACATCCCAGCTTTCTTTTCAGACAGATGCATTACACTGGTGCTTTATTCATCTTATCATTGATGACAACCAGACTTTCTTTTCCATTTTGACTTCCAGCTGATAAAACTAACAGCTTAAGCAGTAATAACAAGTAATTCTAATAACTGCATGCTGCCCTGTGCTTCCAAAAAAGCTGTGGTTAATTTCATAGAAGTTGTAAAGGTGAATTTTGTTTATAGTACAAAACATAAAAGACTTAAAAAGTAACCAAGAAGGAACATATTTCCTCCCTAGATGGCAGCATTTCCAGACCATTTTTTCCTAGACAAAATTACTGCACACTAGACAGAGCTCAGTTTTGCTAAGAGTGAAATGAAAACCTGGTCTCTAATGTGTGTTGAAAGAAAGAAAAGGTATGGAAGTCCTAATTATGCTCCTAAAAAATCCAAACCCCACATAGCTCTCTGAAGATGACAAATTAAGGAAGAAATGCTTCTAAATGCACTTCACATTTGCCAGCACAAACATATAGAGCTCTTACTGCTTTAGAAAAACCCCAGTGTTTCTTGAATATATCAAAAATACCTTACACAAAGCCCTGCTAAAGCAAGTAAAACAATTTCTGCTTTTCCTGCCACTGCAGTTGCTAGCAAGACAAAGACTTCAGGTTACAGAAGCATTTCTCAAGTGTCAAGTGCCCTTGACCAACATGTTGTGAGCCACTTTAAGATTAATGATTAATCTTATTAAATTAAAAACAATGAAGTCACTTTATGAACAAACAAAACCAGATCATTCAAGAATAAGTAGTTATTTTTAAAAGCTGTGACTCCAAACCCTTTGAGAGTATCAGAAGTTCCAGGAGGAAAACTGACTGAGAAAATAGTTTTGTCTAAGATATTCTTAGTTTTTAAATAAAAAAAAAAATTTTGTCTTTGTAATAGCTGGAGCAGAAAGCAAGTTCTAGCATGGATATAAATGAAACAACAGAGATCCAAAGATTAAATAAAAAAGGTATCACACCAAGAAAATGTAAAATGTAAAAGATGCACTATGGCTAAAAGTATCTGGTTAAAAGAAACCCCAGGTATCATTCAATAAAGAAAAAAATTATTTTATTTTTTGCCCTGGCACAACCAACCTGGTCAATATTGAGGCGAAGTGGCATTAGTGAAACACGTAAACAGCATTCCTGTGGGGATCTGCCAGACTCTGGACGGACATGTAAAGCTTTCACTGTTAACTGAAAAAAAACAACAAGACAAATAAAATTATTAAATTTCAGAACACCAGCTAGCAAAACATTTACTGCTAAATCTCTGTACTAGTATGATTCCACTTAGCAATTACAGTATTGAATGAAAACTTCCTCTGAATGTTATAAAAAAATAAAATTAAAAGAAACCCCCCAAAAAATTACTAAATCCCTAAATCCTTTATAGAACCAGTAAGACTACTGTTTACCATAAAAATACAAATCTGCATGTGAAACTGTGAAAGGTACCAAAGTAGTCCGGCACATCTGTTTTTTTAAACTAACAATCTCACACCCATTAATACCTGACATGCTGACATTCAAACTGACTTTTGAATTAGCCTTAATATCCACAAAGAGTCAAGCAAAAAACTATCAACAAATTATATTACTTCAACGTTGCACGAGCTCATGTCTCTGCTTCTGCAAGATCAGAAGTGCACAATGGCCCCCACAATGATAATTCTATCACTATAATTGTAAGAAATTAACATTTCATAGCTATACCATGTTTGAATGTGCTTTTCTGGGCATCTCCTTACTGCAGTAGAGATAGAGAAATTTATTCATTTGTGATGTAGCTAAGCGATCTCTGATCTCCAGGTCTTGAACAATAAAAACTTGTCGTGACACTGGCTGCTCCAACAGACAAGATTCACTTTCTGCACCACCTGGAGGATACACCTCATGCTGGAATTTCACCTTTTAAAATGAAAGAAAACCAGCACAATCAGCTTCATTGATAAACACCATTTAACAGCAGAATAGTTCTTTAAAAAAATAAACAAAAATCAGGGAAGTATACCACATATAAGAACTTTTAAAGCTGTCTACTATTTTAAATTTACAGAAATACTATTAAGATTTCTGAACACTATTCAGGTTTTTACTTATCTAGCAGTAGAAATCTTCCAATTTCTAGTTCCATAATTGTTTGTATTTTAGCATGCAAATTCAAGCCAAAATAAAGAGTACTGACTCTTTGATAAGGAAATTTTACTAACGTAAGATAAGGAATCAACTTCACTTTCATTAACATTGACTCAGCTTTTTCCTCTCAATCCTGACATCTTTCTTACTTTATGGCGAAGCCTGTACCAGGCAACCTTGCAGTTCTTGAATCCTGCAGCCTATAATACTTAAGAAAAAAAATGTTTCTTCCCTACCAACTGACTTCTCAAGTGACTCCACATAAATCTCATTCAGCATTTTTCTTCTATTCCAAGTTATGTTCGTTTGGCCACCCCCTGATGTAGCTCTCATTTCCAGCTGTGGTGACCCAAGCCCATCATCCCCTGCTCCGCAGAGCCCGCGCATCCCGGCCGGCAGTGAACGCTGCTGGGCACGCACAGAGAGCGGCAGCGGCCCCTGCCGGCCCCGCGCTGAGCCCCAAGGCAACACCGTCTGCGGCACCTTTGATTCTCCTTCATTCCTTTAAACATTACTGCTCAGCCGTGTACCAAGTTAGGGATCCAAGTAGGGGAAAAACCTTTTTACTGCTTCAGTGCTAACACCAACTCTCATTAAATATCTGCAAATTGAGAGACAGCTATCATTCTACAAATGAAGTTTTCCAGGTGGAATATTAAATGCTTCCCTTTCTCCTTTTGTTTATTGCAATGTCATGTTTTTTCTAGAAAATGCTACCCTAAGCATCACATATTTCTGGCAAGCTTGAGGTGTTAATGGGATGAATTTTAAGTTTCAGAAATGCACATAGACTATAAAAAAGGCCTTTATTTTTATCTAATGCCTTTCATATTTATGGAAACATTTGAAAACATCTTATTTTAAAAAGATTCTGTTATTGATCCATTTAACATGAAATATGTTTAACTCCTTGCCAATATTATTCACAGCACCAGAAAAAAGCATTTAGTTCCTACATTAGAGCTAACCACAGCCTAAAAACAACTAAGATACTTATGCCTGAAGGGTGCTAAATATGTTAGGGGAAACACAGAAACAATACTCTGATACAACTAGATGTTATTTCATACCAAATTATCAAACTGATACACTGAATATTCTCAAAATATCTATGTCTTGCTTATTTTGTTGGAACACCTAATTTCATATCAGGGATACCTATTCAGAATGGAACTAAAGAGAGGAACACAGAACAGCAGTTGTAAAACTTGGTTATAATAAACAAAAGCTTTTAAGAATATTGTGATGGATATCCTCCATCTTTAGAAACAAGCTTATTCAGAAAAAAAATACTATGCTAATACTAACAGTTTTTGTTGAACAAATTCTACATTCATCACCAAAGTGATTGCTTAGATGTAGATATTGTTGAAAGAAATAGGACTGAACTCTAATGGAAAGGTGTTATCAAAGGAGTATAACATGTAAAGATATCCACAGAGAGAGTCATGGCTGAGGCTGTTTCTGTTACTCACCTTGCTTAATTGTATTTCCATTAAGAAGTCTGGGTTTCTTCCTCTTCCTCCACATGCTGTATTCCGTCCATGCCTTGTTGGTGTATGAGAAGGAGAACTATGGGGACTTCTGAGGAAATTAAAAGGAAAAATACTTTTGCAGATTCAAGTTATCTCACTGTTAATCTACAACTAAATGCACCAGATGTAACTTCTTACTCTTTTAATTATATTCAAAAAAACCCATTGAAATTACATTACTGTTAACTAATTAATTTCTTTTTGTTCAAGTAAAACACATCTAAGCAGAATGCCAGGTGTATGCATCCCACCAAATTAACATTCATAAAACATTTCCTTAGTTTCAGCTGTAATAATTTTATTCTCTAGCTCACATGACATCCTGTACATCTTACACTTATGCTCCTTAAGTCCTGATCTCTTTAGGAAAATTTGACTATCAATATTACTTAAAATGAAATCCATCCCTCCACCCCGCTCCAAAAATCAGCAAAATCAAACCCAGCTTGTCCAGGTTAAGACACAGGAAAAATACACTCTGATGTGTGGAGTTGAACTGAGTGAGAATCTAGATAATCTTTAAGATCCCTTCCAACCCAAATCATTCTATGATTGATTCCCTGTGAAAAGGAAGCCAAGAAGCAAGCAAGGGAGACTTGAGATTGAATAATAAGATTACTCCAAATCAAAAGAAAATAAATCATTTCTAAATTTTCTAACCACATAATTAGATCAAACACTTACATGAAACTTTTAGCTGGAGAAGTTGGTGGTGCAGTCCCAAAATCCCTTCCACCATAAAGATGCCAAATAAGAGATATTTCCTTTACAACATAGCGTACCAGAGGAACAGGAAAATGAAGTGGAGCTTTGCTTGTATCCGTTTTTTTTATAGGTTGACTGAAATGATTTTCCTTTATGATAATTGCATCATCAACCATTATTTTTATAACTGGCTCTTCCTCTTTTTCCTAATTAAAAAAAAAAAAACATACAGCATTGAGAAGGTGAGATCATCTTTATTGAGATGTCCAATTCCTTCCTATGAAAAGGAAACTTTTCTGTATTGTCTTCTAAAGCTTATACAACACATGATCAGTTTAGAAATGTTTCTTATAAACTACAGACAAAAGCATGTGAAAAAAGCAGAACCTGTGAAGTAGTTAAAAATAGCAATAAAAAACCCCAAACCAAAACAAAAAACTTCCCCACCCAAACTATAAACAAAACTAAGTACTAGTTGAAAGCAAGCAGAAAACCACAGAAGAGCCCAGGCCACCCTATTAGCACTTCTGGAAACAAACAAGCTCAACTTCAACTGGGAAAATGCAGCTTCTAATCAGGGACCCAAAAACTGCTTCTGTCTATTAAGAAGAATGCCACCAGACAACATGCAGAGGACAGACATTGGTGTAAAGTGACACAAAAATTTATGTCTGATGTTTGGCAAGGATTTTAGATCCTTAGAAACATTGAAAGCTTAGATTAAGAGAAATGAACAAAAGATTAGAAGACGTGCAAAGCTACTGTTTTGATAAATGCTGGTTTTTACTTAACACATTTTTTTCCTAATCATGCCATTATTTTAAGTTGATATGACAATGATTAAACATGACTAAAATGTAGGAAAACTGCCAATGTTTAATGTAACACTCAGATGAGAGAACAATTACATAGTGTTGAGATATAGAAAAATCATATCTATTTGAAAATACTTGCTCTCATTCCTAACAGCAACAATCACGAATTCCTTCCAAACAGACAAGTATCACTAAGCAATCACAGAAATCTACATCTTATTTACCCAGGCTTTCCATAAGCTTTTATCTAATTCAGTTTATATACAGACTTTTTTAGTAATTTTCAAAGGATCTTACAGCAACAGCAACTTTAGGTGCAAAAAGAATGCAGAAATCATCACTTTCTGCTGGAACATCTCCCATGGCCTCACTTATCAGGTGATGAGTAAATGAAGCATAAGTGGGACTTGGCTCTTGTGAGACATTTCCACTTTCATCTGGAAACAGGAAGAGATCTGAGCAAGATGGCTCTTGAGTTTGAGATTTGTCATCTAAAACTCCTGGGAGTTGAAGGAGGATGGAGAAAAAACATGTTTCAGTGGAAAAATCCTTACAAAATATGAAAATTAAGTAAACTCATGTTTGCTACTTCAATTATATCAAGGAAATTTGCTTATTATATCTTGAATCAATTCCTACTATAAATAATATACAATTCTCAAGTTTCTTATTCTGGTAGTAAGACCACAGCATCAAAACCTTTCAGTACCACAGTGACTGCTCACCCTCTACCACAGAAAAAAAGAACAGAGATCACGAAAATAGTAACAGAAATCTACTTGCAGTACAAAATCCTTATCAAATTTAAACTTGAATTACACTCTGATACAGAAGCCATAATCCTGTGATAAAATCAACTTTCTTTTCTATCTGCTAATTGAAAAAATTCTTTATAGCTAAAAGTTCTTCCTGTGACTTGAAACTGTACCTTCTTCCTGGACCTCTCTCTCATACAGAAGAGAGGTCTTTATTCCTCCATACTAACTTCTACTCCTACAGAATTGGGGTCTTGATAGAGTTCCAGAGACAGATTTCTTCCCTGCTGTTTTCAGTACCTCAGCAATGTGTATTTGACTAGAATCTCAAAGTACTTCTGCATTACTATTATTAAAAGCAAGAATCTGTTCCATAGTTTGAAGACTTCAGACATCCTAAGTACCTGCTCCCATTCTTATTGCAGCATCTCTATATACACAAAACTTTCAATTCCACTTTCTTTCCAGAAAAGTTGTACTTTATCAGTAGGGGTATGCCTTCAGGAGATTCTCACCATTAGACTCTTGCTTGATGGCAGAAGCAGTCTGTTGAGTCTCAATTTCTTCCATGGCATCACTCATCAAATCCCGTAAAATCTGCTGCTCTGATTCAGCAAGGCCTGGTCCGTGGGAAGATGGTTGGCTAAAGGTCTCTACCTGTAGGAGAGGAACTATACATAGTTACATCTCAAAAACAACAAATGTCAAAGAAGATTTTCTTAGAACAGCTTGCTTCACAGCTCTTAAACTGTGAGAAAAAAACCCTTAACTTGTTAAACAGTCAAGTGATCTGAAACACCAAGCTGGATGATTCATAAAGTAGGTTAGAACATTATGGTTCAGGGTATTTAGATCTGAGTACCTGGACAGTTTATGTATGTCATGGAATTTTCTTCTTTAGATACGAAAAAAGTACAAGAGGTAAACAGAACAATGTTTTGAAATATTTAGTGACCAAAGAAGGAAAAAAATACTATTTTAACCCTGAAATATATTTTAAATTAGATACAATTTGATACAATTTATTTGCAGAAAATCACATATTATTTGTAAATAGAATAGGGATTAAATTTAAAATATATTATTACCAAGAACCAGAAAGTTAAGCTGCTATCATTTTGCCATTCTATACCTTCATTTTTGGCTTGCTAACTCCACGTTTAACCTCTGTCTTAGCAGGTGGATGTAAATCACCATAACTTGCAATATATTGTATGAGATTCATGAGTGCAGCACACGAATCAGAGCAGGTACGAATATGGATTACATCACTGGAACAGTGCAGCTCAAAACGAGGTTTAGTCTAGATAGCAACAATGAAAAAACAAGAATAAATTTCAAATTATCCTGATGTTCCATAAAAATGACATATACACAGCTATTTTTAAATTATTTCACTTAACTAGTCAAAAAGAGTTAAAAAAAACAAGTAAACTGAAAAATCTTCTTTGATTTTAAGTATAATAAAGTAATTTTCAAATCGCAATCTCTCATGAAGATTTTACATTTTATTTTGTTTGTGATTAAATACTTACTCTTTCTCCCTCAGAATCAGATTTTACTGTTGTAATGGTTAGTTCCAGCAGTCCCATATCCATAACACGAACATAATCTGAAATATGATCATTTTAAAAATTACTAAGAAAATAGCAAAACCCTATATACGTAGTTATAAACCCATTAAAACCAGCATGAGCTGGAATCAAAGTCTTTTATATCTCTGAATTTCCTTCTTCTATGATGATTACTTTCAGAGTTCAAGTTTCAGCTACTCAAATGAAGAACTTGAACCTTTTCAGTCCAATGTATCACTCCCACTTCAACCATCTGTGTGCAGTGTAATCTTTTAAGATATTTACCTTCATCCCATCTGTGTGAGTTAGAGAAACCAAGGCACACAGGAGCTGAATGACTAAACATTCTATCAGTTTTTAGCTGAAGTGAGAGAGAACACATGTTCATACTGTACTAATCTTTCAGTGCCATTAATAACTTATTTGTCCTCTTTTGTTGTTTAAACAAAACAGGCATGCCTTTACTGTGTCCCCTACTGGAGATCTCTTACCTAAGCTAAGTACACATTTGTGGGCACAAGGTTTCATTATTTCTCCAACTCCTTTGGTAAATATTGATTCAAGTTCCTCAGTCCTTAAAGGTTCTTATCATTTCAATGAGATCAACCCAGCTGGTATGATTTTTTTCAGAACCTACAACTCTGTGCCATATAGCACCTTTCAAGTTCAACTATTTATAATATATATCTCATGAGATCTCTTTTCTATGAAAATTTCCTTCTGTGAAACTCCAGATTTTTAAACATATGCTTTTTCAAATACCCATTAGTAAATTGTAACAAGAGGAATTTCAAGGTGCTCTTCTCTGACATACTTCTGGATTCACAAATCCAAACCAGAGCACTCAGATTTTTAGCAACATTGCACTATTCTCTCATACTCTACTTGCTGCTTCTTATCCCCTCAGTCTTCTTCTTAAATAACCTTTATGAATACTGAATATGCCTGTAATTTTGTTTTTTTAGGCTCTGCAATTGATTAGTCACATCTAAACCATCCTTACCTCTATGGAGGTTCACCATGACAGTGTTGCATTTGTCAGACAAATGCAAAGCAGCTTCATCTAAAATTATCCTAAGAGACAAAAATAAGATGAAATAAAAATGCTTAAAGAAATGCTGGGCAATTAGTAAGTCAAAAGAAATTAGTATATAAAAAATATTTTAAAACACAAATATACCAAGCATATCTTAAATTCAAACTCCTCACTTTAACCTTTCATAATTTTTAAATCTATTGACAATTAACCACTGCAAGATATTTTCCCCATTGCTAATTATATATTTTTTACATTTCAGTTTATATATTTAATTCTTCCTAGAATAAGAAATAATGCCTTAATCCTTAACAGTTATTTGTATTTTTGTCTTTTGTTTCAAGATCACTTAAAAGGTTTTATCAATAAAAATAATTAACTTGGTAGATATTTCACAACAGAACAGGTAAAACAGAATGAATATTCAACTGAAGTTGCAAGAAAATTATTAGAAGTTACAGATATTTTCATGAGTCATTAAATATTCAATTAATTAAAACACTGTCGCCAAGTAACAAATTATAAGAAATTTTAAGGTCTTACTAATTCATAAAATAGACATAACTTCATTTCAGGACATTGCAATCTTATTAAAAATGCAGAATTGCTCATTGTTAAAAAAAGCAATCTAACTAAAAAGTATAAATAAACAAAATTATTTAACCTAATAAAACAGAAGGATTACATGTGAGCAAAGTGTATTTCAAAAGACAGAAACCAGTGTGATCATTTATACAACATGAAAGCTTCTGAGGTCAAAAAAGCAGACAGGCATTACAAGTTTTACAGGAGCTTACATGATTCATAATAATTTAAATCATACCTGAGAGTAGAAGAGGATTTATCTACTGCAACACTACTGGAAATGCTGAAAGTTTCAACAGTAAGGAGAGATCTGACTGGCAAAAACAAGGGCCTAATAACAAATTGGAAAAACAAATTAGTGCTCTGCACCTATTTGAAGTTCACTCAAAGCCTTACAGATTACCTAACTCCATCTTCTCAGATCTAGGCAAGTCATATCCTACTTTAAATTCCTTCTAGTTAAAGGATGTCTGTTAAGTATTTTTTCCAAAAGTGCCTAAGTAACTATTATTCATAGTATGCAAACTTAAACATTCCTGAAGAGTAAGTATACAGCTGCAGTGTCAAGTGACACACTTACATTTTACTTACCTGTAATCAAGAGCACAACTCCACAGATGCACATGAAAAGTTGTAATTGTAGCTGGAGGACTATATCCCAGAACAGGCTCATCAGAAATATTCAAAAAATATAAAATCTAAAAATCACAAAAAATATCAATACTTCAATATCTATTAAATTAACAAACAACTACACATCACAAAAGAGCAAAAAAGAAAATCTGTAACAGGTATGACAATAAAACATTAGATTAGTAGAAGGAAAAGGTGTGAACAGCCTCAGATATTTAAAGATGTTTACTCAATATCTTATTAGAGAGAAGCACGGAATGTAAGCAACACAAAAAAAACCCCATAAAAACCACATAAAAGCTTCAAAGCTATGGAAAAGACCAATCCAGATACACTCAAGTGGCTCCTTGTAACAAAGCTTGACAATGCATTTTTAAGACACTGCCCAAATAGAGTCTTATTCATCCCTCTTTGTAGCTGTTATTACAGTGTTTGTATTTTCCTTGCTCTCTCTCTGAAAAGTTAACTTTTAGTTAACTCTGCATTGCTCAAGGTATCTTCAAGTCTTTCTTGAGGGTTGGATATGGGAAATACACTCGTAACCATATTGTATAAACAGCTTTTTCATGTACTACCACATAAAACTAGCTGCTATCCTCCTCTGTAACATCTGTCATAGTTCCCTCTTAAATATGTTATACTATAGAAATTCTTAAAATATTCCAGGCCTGGGGTATACCATCACTGCTAGTCTTTTAATTTTTTCTTCTAACTACCTTTTTGGACAATTTTTTTATTTGATCCCTCCCCCTCCAAAACAGATTGCCTGTGATGCACTTGGAAATGTTACTTGAGAAAAATTTCACAGAGCAAAGAAGCGACATGGTGTAAAGCAGGTTACACAAACCCACAGGAATATTATGCTGAGGAGAAAATAAGGGCATAGCAGAGTCCAAAGCCCCAAGTTCAGCTCCACACAGTTATACCGTAACAATGCATGTTAAAATCAGCATATTATACAGACTGGAGGATGAACAGGAGCAGACTGAGTGTCAAGGGTTGCTGTTTGTAATCCAGTATGGGGCAGTACATGCAAGGACACTGCTCCTGTGCTAATGGCATGTTTTGCCTTGTGCACACACACAGATCAAGGGGCTCCAGCCCTGTCTGCTGTGCTCTACCTCTGCATCCACACCTATGACTACAACCCTTCTCATTCAGAAGTGTTTGTGTAAACTGCTGCTCACTGCCTCCCCAAAGTCCTCCAGTACTGCTTTTCCAGCAACACAAAACAAGAAGTATACAACTGAAAAATGAGACTTGAGGGATAAAGTGAGCAGAAAGGAAAAATACAGAAATGCTTTCAGAACTACAAATAACACATTTGTTTGTTTTGAGGGTATTTTTAACTTAAGGATTATTTACGTACTTGAATATTATTGCACTGAGATTTTTCATCTGAATTTTAAACAAAACCCAAAGCCCATACCCCAACAGAATGAAGTAAACCCTGCCAAGAGCCTCCCTGACATGTTATGGGCAGAAAGTTAGCATGATGGAAGGAACAGTACCAAGTGGATAGACAAGAAATAATTTAAAAGTAAGATTATCATCTGTCAATGGTCTCCAAGAGAAACAGGGAAGAAAGAAAACACTTTCAAGGGCAGAGTATGATAATAAAGCACAGCCTAACATCAAGACTTTCAATCAAGATTTAGTTTGATAGTTAAGGCAATGAGACTGAAATTGAAGATGTAATCAAGAAAACAGCAGCAGCCTGACCTGTTCATGCCAGCTTAAACCTGAAGGCAACACACGGTGCTGAAGGGTGGCTCCTCGCAGTCCAACAGCCACCAGAAATTCCTGCACAACAAAGTTGCATGACTTGGCTTACATGAAACATGTAACTATTCACATGTAGATTATGAAACTGTGTTACCCTTCTGCACCCAAAAATCTCCTGGTGTCTAGAAAAACTTTGCTTTCCAATACAGAAACCCTGGATAACACAGTATCATCATACTTTCTGCAACAGGACACTGCAGAAATGGCAGTTTTGTGGTGGTGGTAGGAAGGCAGGCTGCCTGCACATTCACTGTAGGATACAGCAGAAATAGGAGTACCAGCAGTACCAACTTAAAGGAGTTCACATGTGAGACAACTGAACACCCACAACATTTTGCTGGTCTGCAGAACCTTTCTTTAGATAACTCAACCAACCTGTTTGTCACCACTGGGCCAGCTAAGAGGTCCTCTTTCAGCCACACTAATGAATGCTACTGTCATTTACCAGTCCTATTCCAAATAGGTAAGCAAAGGCTGCCTATTAGATGACACTGCTAGTTAACTGCAGTGTAATTCTATATTTGTTCTTGCCTGTTTTAACAACAGAGAAACTCAACAAAAACAAAAAATGTCAACTATTCAAAAAATGCATTTAGTAAAAAAATAGTATGATCAGCAAAGTGAAGCATTGGAAGAATTAGTAAATTAAGCTGCTGCTTAAATTTTATAAGCCACCCAAAGATTCTAAGAGAAAATTCAAGTTTGAAAATTAATGTCTGAGAACTATATGGCTTCTTCATCTGTAACCCTTCTAACTCCATGTCTAGATGCTTCCATAGAACTGAGATAACTCAACTTATGAAAGTACAAATAACACAAACCTTTGTATTGCTCTCTATTTTATCTGATTGGATTTTGACTGCAACAGTCAGCATACTGGGACTATCCATTCCTACACCATCTGAAGTAGTCCTACTAAGACCATCCTCTTCAGAAAAACAAATAGTAGGCTCTAACCAATGGGGACGTATTGTGCTGGGCAGTCGTACTTCAGAGGAAGGGACAACTCCATCTACCAAACCTGCAAAGAGATTTTGGAATGAATTACCAAAGCTGTTACTGATGAAGTGTGAAGGAAAATCCTTTTTATGCTTAATGCCTACAGAATTATTTTAATTATCAAAGTTAGTCATGCTCAACAAAGAACTTTGAAGGGAAGGTTATGGGTGATCCAGTATTTAAAACCACAGCTCTAGCTATCATCTTCAATGTGTCTATTAGGGATTGAATTTTTCATTTGCCCAACAAAATAGAGATGTTGAAATAAAGGACAGAAATCTCCTACAGGTTACATGGAGAATATGTGTCTCCTCTTCATCTTATGAGATGGTGAGACAATAACTAAGCCTTGCACTGAAACATGACCACCACTGATTCACAGGCATCTGAAAGGGAAACCTTGAAAGGTTTAACTACATGGCGGTCACCAGACATAGACAAACTACACAGCCAAAATTCTTCACCTGTGGATGACAACTAGCTACTGAAGAAAAACACAGCAGCCATTGGTAACCTGCAGTTTTTTTAAATAAATAACCAATACCATGTAGGAAGAGTGCATTTTCATAGTAAAGAATAGGCTGTACAGCTAATTTGCCAAAGGATCACAGTATCTCTGAACACCAGCAGTTGTCTGGAAAGTTGAGGATAAACTTTAACTAATTACAGTTATAATGAAGTTGCATTTCTGTAGCATTTAGAAACATTAGCCATAAATTATATTCATTGTGCCAAATGACACACTAGGAGAGTAAAAAGAAAAAAAATACAGCATTTTCCCTAAAAAGCTTCAAGCTTAGGTGATTTCAAATTTAGCCCCAAAGCCACCTCAATCCCATCCCTACCTTGATGATATAAATTGAGGCTGCTAGAATGGAGACAAACATAGTGTCTGTCCTCAAAACCTTCATATTTAGTCACACTGAAAAGGGAACCACCGTTAAACTCAAACCAAAATTCACCATATTTTCCTTCCAGTGTATTTCCATCATCCTGCTGAAGGAAGAGAAATGATAAAATTATTGTTTGTTGACAGTTTGCTGCATTTAGGCAGTATAAACTAACACAACACTTGCTATCAATACATGTTTTCTGCCTTGCATTTCAGTTATTCTCACATGTAACAAAGTACACAGAATTTGCAAAATACTGTGTTGCATTACTGCCTAGTTATAGTAGCATAAAGATTACAGAATTACTGCTAAAAACACCACCTGCTTCTAGATAGGTACATACAGCATGAAGGGGCCACCCATGGTCAAAACAACAAAAAACTTGTTCCAGCCCCAGTGCCTTACCTTTACATCTGTGAATATTGACACTAATCCATGTGTCACATTTAGCAGAACAGACAGAAAGCTCTGTGAGTTCTTATTTTGTGAGTCAAGCTTTTTCCTTCTGCGTGAACGATAGTTTGGATCGACAGTGGAATAATACTGTAGTGTTTCTTCCTCAGATCCACTTTCATCATCTAATAGATAAAATGAAGTACAACTCATTCTCTTGCTAGTACACATATTATGCCAATAGCTCACTCTTTCTCCATTGGTAATGCAATTCAATTTCACATTTATTTTACCCAATTAAACAGTAATCTGCTTTTTTTTCCCCCTTGGTTTATGTTTTCCCATAAGTTTACAAAATCTTTCCACTAACATCTCAATCACTTCAGCCAATTACACTTCTAAAGCACTATAGCTCTAGATAATTTATTAAGTGTATTACCATAATGAACTGCAGATTTAAATTGACTGAAGCTATCTTTACTGAAAGTGTTGATGAGTTGGCTGGCCACAGATAGTCCAACACCATAAGAAAGGTTTTCAAATGTTTCCACAGGAGATGGAGCTGTGGGTTCCCACAACAATAAATCATTGCTGATCCTAGGAAGAAATACATTATCATTACACAAAATATATGAATATATTCCCATTTTGTATTAAGTCAGTCAAGTATAATTCCTTTGCAGACTTTATATAACAGATTCCAGACTACATAAACAGAGAAAATAAAGTTCACGAGCACAAAACAATAATATATTCATGAGTAAAAGCAATAGAAAAATGGAAGTAACTTCTCTTCTGTAATTATGGTATGCACATATCAAAGTCTAACATGTGATAGTGACACAAAAGACTCTATAAGTGGGTATATATTTGCTCAGTAGGTGGGAGGGGGAGTTGAGAAACCCTTATTTTGATCACATCAATTTTCAACTAAGCTGCAGAAACATTAATTCTTTTGATTTCAAGTGAGTGTGTCTGTCAGGGTAAAGACATTCAGTACAGAAGTATTCCAACAAAATAGTCAATGGAAGGTTCTGCTTTGTCACTGTGGAAGTGAAAATACTGGAAGTAATGTCTATCAGAGACTAAAATAGCTCACAATCTCTCTTGCATATTTGCACAGCACAGTAACAATCTAGTAGTATTTTGCTGGTTTTCAGACAGCAAACTAACAGAAATAAATGAACACCCATCCATAAATTTGGCTTGCTTTCTCTACATTTTCATAAACCTTTGTGAGCCTTACAAAACAGGATTAGATTTTTTTTCTGACTGCCTTGCAAGCTCTAGATTTTTCGATGGGAAGAGTAAAATTGAGTGCAAGTTTCTGAAGTATAATAATCTGTTTAAAGAAGAAATCAGAAAGATTAGAGCAAAATGAAACATTGCACAGAGATCTGAACAAAGTGTTCACTGAGAGCCAAAGACTATTTAGCTTCACTCTTTGTTCACAAAATCTGCCAAACACTTTTTAGCAGTCAGCTGCCATAGCACTGATCAGGTGCATGACACAGTGGTGTCATGTTAACTTGGAAAAATATTTATATAGCACTTTGTGTTTTTCAATAAGCTATACAAATGAGTTCCTGCTATACCTGCTTAGACAATTGCTTTTATCAAAAGTGACACAGAACTGAGAGTACAGGTCATGATAACCAAGCAAAACAGTTATACTTGCCTGTTGTACAGTTTTTCATAAAAGCTTTTGTTTGGTAGTGTTAAGTGAATGTTTGGTAGTGTGAGTTCCAGTACATAATGAGAATTGCTAATTGTTTTATCCTGAAACTCGGTCATTTCAACTATATCTCCTGGCATCACCATCTGAAAGAAAAAAGAAAAAAAATTCTTAAGTTAAAGAAAAAAAAAACACAACCAAAAAAACCCAAAACAAAACCAAAAGTGGAAGGCAGAAGTTGCATGTAAAGTAGTGAGATGGTATTCATTTTCTCTATCATAAGCACAAAGCAGTAACAAAATGTTACAGTACCTCTTCATTTTCAAACATGACCCTACGAGAAGAAAATGGAGAAGGCTCTGGTCTCCTAATATCACAGACATCCTTCAAAGAATGAGACCCTCCTTCTTCTTCTTCTTGAAAGTTATTATCACCTTCTTCCTCCTCAGCTGCTATCCTTTCCAGAATAGAGTGCACAGCCAGAGGGTTTATTTTCAATACAATCCTGACATTGGAGAAGTTAAGCAGAATAAGCCATTAGAGATGCTTAAAATGTTTATATTTATGCTCTGTCACATGATCACTAGTTCTACTGGCTTGCCTTTAAATACACATAGACTAAATAACTCAAAATTCCAGGGACTTTTTTATTAGATAATAACATATTTTATTACCCAAAACAGTACTACTAAGAAAAAAACTAACTTATACACACAAAGGAACGTGGTACCATCAGGTAAAAGAAAATGTTAAGTGTCTGCTTTTTTCAACTCCATTAGGTGATCATATAGGTGACCTAAGAAAAGTCTAGCACTCTCTCAAAATAAAACCTGTTTCACTAGACCATTAACAGCTATAAAAATGCTCTACTGCATGGTGTAGCTTCTTACATGTAAACACTGTTATAGAAAATTTTATTTGTGCCATTATAAAAGAAAAAATGTCCACAGAAACTTACTGTCAGAAAGCCACTGAATTTTGTGGCAAACAATGTACACAGCAAATTCTGTAGCAAATCTAAAATTGCCTCTTTAAACATCTTATTACATGCTTCAGCTGCCAGGTCCTTCTCTTCAGTAAGTCTGAAGCACTGTATTGCCTTGCATGTGATATAAGCTGCAATAATTCAGTCACAATATAATTATTCTTGCTATACTTATGGCTTATATTATTTTGAGGGAAAATTCAACTAGGATGAGTGGTTTGGTATTCAGTCATGAATGCAGGAGAAAAGGTAAAGTAAAAAAAAAATGGGAAAAAGTTTCAAGTCTCTAATCATTTACCTAACTTTCAGTGAAATTTACTCAAGTCCATGCAGAAGTCATACATTAAACACCATATTGCATTATTATAAATGTAGAAGTTTCAGGGTTTTTTATAAATTCTTGGAGTCTTTTTAATAGTTACATACTCTTTCTTTGCAAATTATTTTCAATCATCTACCACACAGGCATTCTGGATTAAAATTAGAAAAACAACAGTGCTTCATAAAAATTTAATCAATCCACATTAAAAACATGAAAATTTATTTTACCGAGGCCAGTCAAAATTGTCTGATGATGATGTTATATCTCCATCTGTGCCACCTGACACCTGAAAAAATTTTACTGGTGTTTCTGCATTATCTTCTTCAAATGAACCTGAATAGAAACGAGATTTTTTAGAAATTAACAGATGAATGACAACTGCTAACTTCAGGTCAGCCACTCCTCAAGTTGGAGTCAAGCAAGATTAACCAGCCAATGCTACTTATTAAGATACTTAGGCAAATTTTGTCACCTCTTCTTCCAAAAAATTAATACTAACTTTTAGAAACAAAAATTATTTCACATTATTTTTAGCTAGCAGTATTTGGAAAATCAGACACTTCTAATGCATAGATACCAACATTTACATTTATAGCATCACTATATTTTGTCACAGCCTTGATTAAGTACACAAAATGAGACAGCAGGGAAGATTGCAAATATAAATCAGTCTCATAGATTTATTACTTTGAAAGATACTAGAGGCATGAAATTATTAAAGTTTTTCAATGATAGTTATTTAGGGAATCAATCTTGGCATCACAGCACTTCTAGGGTTGAAAAGGACCTCTGGATGTTATCTAGCCCAACCCCTCTGCCAAGGCAGGGTCATCTAGGGCAGGTTACACAGGAGTGTGTCCAAGGTGGGCCTGGAGACTCCACAACCTCCCTGGGCACCTGTTCCAGTGCTCAGCCACCCTCAATGTATAGAAGTTCTTCCTCATGTTAATGTGAAACCTCTTGTGTTTCAGTTTATGGCCATTGTTCCTTGTCCTGTCTCTGGACACCACTGAAGAGAGTCTGGCACCATTCTTTTGACACCTGTCTTTGAGATATTCACACACTTATGAGATTTCCCTCTCAGTCTTCTCCAGATTGATCAGGCTCAGCTCCTGCAGCCTCTCATCATATTAAAGATGCTCTAGATCCCTCATTAGCTTTGCAGTCTCCACTGGACCCTCTGCAGGAGCTCCTTGTCTTTCTTCTACTGAGGAGCACCAAACTGGACACACTGCCTCTCCTCATAGTAGTATTGTTTGGACTTTGCTATTTAGTACAGAACACAAAATTACAGTAGAGATATCATATCTACTTCAAAATTCAGGTGGAAAGACACTCCCTGGGTTACTCCATATGAGAGAACCTCTCTCTTAACTACACAGTACCTAGAAAAATAAAAAAGGACTAGTGAAAATAATATTAACATTCTTACCAGTTAGCTCTTTAAAGGTAAGCTCTAATTTAACTTGTTCTGGAGTCGAACCTCCTATAAATTCAGTTTTAAATTCCATATCTGTAAATTCAAGATGAAGAATCTCCTTCTGAAGTGATTTCTTAAACCATGGTCCTCTTTCCTGATCTGACCGTAGATCAGGTATTGGGAAGCGAACAGAGAGTTTCAATGCTGGGGCAGTGACTTGAACAGAAACTCTACAGTTTGAAGGAGTATGAGAATCATCCAGAAAAACTTCAGCAAATGCTTTATGCTAAAAGAATCAAAGAATAAAAAACAAAACACAAACCAGAGTGAATAAAAACCCCTCTGAATTAGAGAAAATAGCATTAATGGTGACTATGGGGAAAGCTTTTGATGATGTAATATCTGAAAATGAAAAATAATATTTGTATCACAGAAAAAACACATCAAGACCAACTGCAACTGTTCTTAGGATACTTTTCTATTATAGGTGTCATGAAGATTCTACTTAGAAGTCAAGTTTTTGCAGAGATTAGCAATCTTTAAAAAAACCTGCTATTTTTGCAATTATTTTTCCTCTTAAATTAGATAGTGAAAGTACCAAACAATATTCAGCTGCAGTTAGGAAATACCATGTCTCAGACACTTGTTTAAAAACTGCTGCTGTTGAAAAAGTAGGAATTACTATCATGTGTATTTGTCCCTTTCAGGAAGTCAGGGTGTCCAGCTCCTGTCACTTTCATGTCCTTCATACCCTCCCCACTTTTGCTGATCATTGAAAGGAATCAAACTTGCAAGACAATTATATTTACAGAAATAATTGATGTCTTACAATTTTAGGAGTCTTAAATAGTTTTGAAAGCTGATTTTTCCATAATCAGTAAATGCAGCAATAAAATTACATGAAGATTTTTGGTGCTGTGCAGAAAATCAGTTAAATGCAGGTAATCATTGCTCAAGTATTTTAAGATAAGTCTTTAAGTTTAATGCTATTGTGGTAACCCAAACCAATGCAAATAAGCTTCAATTTCTTTCTGTTGGTCCCAGAACACTAGAATGCAATGCAAATGGCCCCCATTCTCTCTGTCACCTACCCCAAAAGCAGGTAACACACCACAGAGACAACTAGGCTGATTGTGACAATTAAAGATTTTAGAAGTGGAATTGTTAGCAACACTTTCTATCAGCTGCTGGAGCACATAATGGGACAGATTAGGGATGAGAAGTCAGTCAAGATTACTCTTTTTTGCCCAGTTCTCCTTGCTTCAAGAAGCTGAGAACTTAGGCAGTTTGTGAAGCATCTACCACTGTCTTTTGGTCTGCTTTCAAGCACACAATCACTGAATGCAAAATGAGACTGTCAGAAGTTGGAAAAAACCAAACAAACCCCAGTCAACCAACCAAACAAAAAAAAAAATCTCATACTAAAAATAAAGCACCTCAGCCACCACAAATCAATGAGAACTAGCAGTCTCAGGCTTTCTATCACCTCGACTTCCTCCTGCAAAAAAACCCAGCAAGTTCATTAATCAATCTCACTTTAAACTTACCAGACTTATGTGCTTATTGTAAGAAGCATACATGTGAGATGCCATCATCTCCACTGTAGTTAGTTTCTGGGGTTGAAGTAAGGAATTTAATCTGTCTACAATACTAATATCCAGCTCACAAAACACTGGACTTAACTTTATTTGTAACTCTGCTTTCTGTGGAACAGAGCTGAGTCTCCCTTGACTACCCTGAAAAGAAAGAGAAGAAGCACTAAAATCTTCAACACAATACAGTGAAACAAATTATAATAAGTAGGAGTTAAGAACTCTCTGTTTTACAGTCAATTTTTTGTTCAAATGAACCAAATTAGACAAAGGTTATTGTACAGAAACTTAGTCATTTTAATCTCCCACCTTACCTGAGGTCCTCTATTATCTAAATGCTTATAATGCAGCTGAAGACATGGCATAGAATGAGAATCATTTCTTTCTTCAGAATGAAATGTCAGCAGCTTCAGGAAAAAAAAAATTCAAAATGTTTAATAAATAAGAAGGAGTTGCCACAGGAAAATATATTTATGACATATTACTTAGAGCAGACAGGTAACCACACACTGAAGTCAGTGAACAGAGCCCCAGCTCAACTGTTTACTCAATCCACATATTCAGCTACCTTACTGGATATCTCTGACCACTAAAAGAGCTGGAAGAATAATCACCACCACAAGAAACTTTGCATTGCTCAACTCCATTGCTTAGAGTAAACGTTTTCCAAAAACTAATACCCAAACCACGTCAAGCATATTTAAGAAGTAACTAACAAAGTTTGGCTACCTGGTGCTGTTCCTGTCAGGTATGACAGAAGTTGGTTCACTATTTGAGCTCAGAATTAAAATGTTAATTTTAACCTTAAAACTGTAACATATTTAAAAAACTAAAAAACATTAAGAAACATTTAAATTACAACCATTTTACAAATCTACCATTCTCAGTTATACAATTAACATTTTCTTTTTCTGGAACTCCTTTTATTTTTAACATACCTCTGTATAGTGAGGCTGCATGGAATGAGAGTCAGTAGAAAAAAGGCATTCCAGGAATTCCATCTCACCAATGGATAAGTCAGTACTAAAACTTCGTGAGGCAGTCCTTTGTCTTTGCTCATAAGACACTTTGATGCCAGTACCTATAAACCTGGATTATTAAAATTAATAATTATTAAAAGTAGCATAAATCAATAACAATTATGGAAAGTCAAAACTTAAGTAGGCAAAAAAAGGATCTACAATCATTTTTAAATCATTAAAACATCATAATTTCTCCAAATACATGAAAATATCTAATTGTAACAGATTTAGCAACAAAGACAATGAAGCTCATGTTACATAATCAACAATGGTCAGCATAGAGAAATTTGTAAAGTACATTTCAGGCATCTATCCTGAGGTGCAGTTCATATAAAACTAACATCCTTAGACAATGAAGTAGTCAAATGTCTCACAAAGTCTAAATTACATACATAAGGTAAGAAAAGATATATATACCCTTAAATATTTTACTTCATACACTGTACTGGGATGGTAAAAATTTCTGCAAAAAAAAGACTGTTGCCTGACTTTATTATCTTGTTCTCACTTAGACTTTATCCCTACTGATATAATATTTTGCACTCAGTAAAACCCTAAGCTCCTTAAAGCAGAAATCACTACATTGGAATAACAACAGTTCTGTAAAACACAGCTATTTCTAAAGATATTTACTTAATTATTCTTGACTCTCTAGGCTTCTGTCATAGAAACTGTACTTAATTTAATTAATCTATTAAAAAGCTAGGTGATTTTAATGTTTATTCTCCTTTCTTTTTCTGTTTCAACTTTTTTTAAAAAGATGTCTTGAACAACAGATGTCAAAATTCAAGACTATTTTGAAATTAATAAAGAAGACTAATGCAATTCAAATATTAAGTGACACAATTCCTATGGTAATAAACTTACTTTATTCAAATTTACTTAAAATATATTTTTGTTACTTATATTTATTAATAAGCAAAGTTATACCTAAGGTGATCATGAGAACAAGCTTCTGCAAATACTTCTCGGAAGGACAGAAAATCTTCTGTTGAAAACTTAACTGGCTCAATCTTTTCTATTCGGGCAAAGAAATCCCGAGCCATTGGTGTCAATGGGTTAAGGTTCAGTGAACTTTCAGGTGGGGGTAAAGGGTCAATATGAAGTACAGACACTGAGAAAGTTCCAACTGCCAGTCTAAAAAGTAGCTCAGGTCTGGATTCATCCACAGAAACAGATCTGGATGGAATAGCTGAAATACAAAATTAAGTTCACGTAATTTTTCAGCAATAACACATTTATAAAATCATCTTACTTTTGATTTTCATTTCTTTTTACCAAGTTGCTGCATAACAATTCATTTTCATAATTATCTAGGGAAAACTATCAGTTTTGTTGTTACTTACATGTCCTTCTTATGGAAGTCTGGTGAACCATATTGGCTGTTAGTGAGGAACCTCTTGGAGGCTGTAATTCTTGTTTGTTACGATCAAGAAAATCACCCCAAGTTGGCTGCAGCTAAAACAAAAAGATATATGTGACCTTAAATTTGCAAAGAGTTGTTAGACATTGGATCAAACATAAATAATAAGGTAAATTACCAAAAAACTCCAGCATGCATAAACAATCAACAGCATGCCATTTCATGGAGAATTAGTGCTCAACTTATTAATGCAGGTATGCTTTATTTCAAGATATGCTTTTTAATTCCACAGGTTTTTAAGGCTAAAGTCGCACTCCTCATGAGCATATATTTTTCTAATTCTACAACTACTCTCCATGGTTTTCATTACAGAAAACATTAGGTACACAACAGATTTGGGAAAGATAGTGATAACAATAGTTTTTATACTGTCTGAGGAAAAATTTAATACTACAATTTCATAAAACATTGCCTGTGTAGTCTATTTTAAAAGAAAACCAGGTAGTACACATGCAGCAATTAAAAAGAAAATAAATCATGAAGCATCCTCTATAAGCTTCAAGGCATTTGAAAACACACATTTCCTAGTTTAGCCAAACAAATGAGAACAATTCCAATACCATTTCCATAGCAGAAAAGGAATACTATCAGCTCTAAACATTTCAGTTGTTCTAGAATTTTGCAACAGTTCCTGGCATTGTAAAGAATGCAGCAATTATGCAACAGTTTCAGGCAGAAGTGTTAATTTCTAAAAGATTCCAAATGCAGTTAATACTATACCACTGTAGTGCTCAGTGGAGATCCTGCTGGTGTAGTTGTGTATGTACTGGTTAAAGACAAGTCTAGATCCATGGTTGGAGGATCTCCAAGAGGTGGAAGTGAGGAAAGGCTGTGGGACATGTCCATTTCAGCCATTGAGAAGAAAACTTCTTCCTCTAGTAGAGAACCACAGATAATTGAGAGTTATTTACTAATTTTAAAAAAAACCTTTTTTCTAACAGAAATGTATTTTTAAGTCTAGAAATCTAACTGCTAGACAGAATAACCAGCTAAACACATCATTTACAGAAGTCCCAAGTTTTCTTGACATGAGACTAGTAGTAGTAGTGTCTATGGAGAGAGATTAAATAAAAATCAAATTGCAAAAAACCTCATGAATATTAAAACAGTTAAATACCTCATTTTCATATTCAAGTTGATATAACTTCTACAAATTGATACATTCTCATTTTGACAACTATTCCACATTAAAAATAGTTAGCAAAAAAGTATTCACATAAAATCAGGTAAATACAACTATTATTCTAGATATAATTTCCTCAACCACACATTTGAAAACATGACATGCTGTATGTGTTTTTAGCCTGTTTCACATTAACATAAACTGAACAATTTTAAAGAAATACTGAATCGAGTTCAGCCTGATACCTAAACTAGTTAATTTTTTACTGAACTTTACCATTAATGGCATATAATTACTTCAAGTCAAACTTATTTTAATAGATAAATTGGTAAGATTAAAAGATGAACAATCAATTTAAACAATCTTAACAACGGGTTATTTGCTATTTTGCATCATCTTTTATACTTGCCACGACTAGAAGGCGTTCTGGCACTCTCTGTCTCATAGAAGCTTTGCTCAGATGATGCTCCTGCAGATAAAGACTCTTTCCTCAAATAACGTTTCAGCTCCATCTGAATCCGATACTCGTCCTCCTGCTGCATTGGCCGGTTCTTCCTATCTTTATTTGACAATTCTATCCTGCTCAGACTCTCTGAATTCAAAAAAAGGACAGAAATCCTACTGTAATTTCCTGTATCCCTAATAAAATTCAAAAATTTATCTGAAAATGAATCATTGGTGTATATATTTGCATGTGTAGCTATATATCAGATGTGTGTACTTGTGCATTTTGCTGGTTTGAAGGTTTTATTTGTTCAGAAGAGATTACTCTCTCCTAGCACTTATTAACTTCATATCTGATGAAAACATTTCAAGGTTATATATGCAGTATGATGGCATATAGATGCATACATTTCTCTTCTCAGTCAGCTTTAGGGACTAAGGCCACAACCTCTTAAGGGTTTTACTATTAAGGAATGACCAAAGTTTCAGGTCTGAAGATGACACACATGGGAAACTGTATGTAATACTTTTCCAGTTGTCCAAAAACAATGAGCACATCCAATAAAACAAGTAGATCAGTATCAGAAGAATATTAAGCACCCACCCAGGATATGACATATCTTTCAAAAAGATTATTTACCCTAACAAGTGTTGCTACATAAAATAGATGAGGGGAACAAACCAAAACACTCTCATACTTCTACTGCAGTAGCTGAATAGCTGCTTTTAGTTCTTCACAAATACAGACAAACTCAATTACAGTCTGTTCAGTATTTTCTGTGCCTGTCACTAAAACAGAATAGAGAATAGAATAGAGAAGCTAAATTCCTCTTGTGAAACAGAAGCTGCAAGAACCAGAATTTGTTCAGTCTCCTGCTTTTCTCCACCTAGAATTTCCTCATTTCTTGTATTATTACACAGTTATGTGTCAACCCTTGTTTGCTGGTTTGTTTCATTACTAGATGTACAATTTGCAATTAAAGACAAAAAATTAATCAAAGTCCTAACTCACAGCAGCTACAAAGCATTTTACTAATATCAGATAAAAACTCATAATACTGTACCAACACAATTTTTTTTCAACTGAAGAAACATTTTCATCTTGCAAAAATCTTTTTGTTCCTTGTAATACTTGCCTGGTCCAGCAATAGCTGCTACCATGTCCAATAGAAGATGAACCTGCCTTGGTGACAGAAACAGATGTACAGAATCTATTTGTCCATCTACATCCAACTAAAAAGAAAATGAAAGAATGCTGTCAAGAACACTGAAGGAATTTTTCTTTACATTACTTGAATCAGTTATTTGGATAATAGATTTTTATGATGGAAAGAATACAGTCATTACACCAGTATCTTCTATAAAACAACTAGAAACATAATTTTGTGTTTCTTCCAACCTGTAGCTTGGCAGGATAAATGCAGATGTGTCACTGACTATCAGCTTAAAATAAATACACAATCTCATAACAGAAAAAATCAATAATTCCATTAATCTGCTATTTTTTTCTTTAATAATTCCCTGAGTAATAAAAAATAAAGTTAGTTTTACTTATTAATTATGAGATATTCAAGTAAGCACCTTTTGAAATAGACCTTAAAACAATAAAGGTCTTCTGTTTTGTAAATTAATACTTTTGAAATCAGCAGCATTTCTCTATTTCACACCAAGGAAATGTTATTTTACTTTTCAAGGACTCTTAAATAAATAAACAAGAACAGTTAAAGATTGACTAGAAATTGCTGGACATAAAAAAAACCCTTCTCTACAGCAGTAGAAACTTTATGCTTTCTATAAAATACAGTAGGCTATACAAAACAGGTCAACAGCCAATTTAAAAACTGGAGAGAAGGGGAATATATTACACAGCTTTACTTATATACTCACTATCATGTCTACTTGTTTTCTGAACACTTAAATTCAGTCTCTCTCTAACATAAAAGAATTCTCATTTAACAGATTTCAGTGTGTCCTGACTCATCTGACTACCATAAAGAGGTCTTTTTTACACATATTTATTAGGTTAGAACATAAATAATCACCATGAAAACTATGGCAATTCTGTTCCCCTGAAAATATTACACCTTCTTCATATGTACTAGAAAAAAAAATTCTACAGAACTACTCATTTAGTTAAACACCAGGAAAGCATGACTAACCTTAGCTCCAGGAAGTACTTCATTTTGTTTTAGTGTTAGGCTTAACTCCATTCTACCAATCAGCTTACAGATCTGTACAGGGTCAGAAGGAGTAATTTCTGGCAAGTTTCTTGTTAATTGTGGATGTGGCTCATAAATGATTTTTGGATTCCAGCTAGGTGAAAGCTTTGGTTCAGTTGCCTTAAAAAGTTACAGATAAAGGAGTAAGAATGCATCCCATTTCTTAGGAAAAAATGCAAAACATAAGCATTTCAAATAAGCCTATCATACAAATAATCACTTTACAAACTATAAATTTGACAAAAGCTTAAAAAACATGTACTGATAATTGTGAAAAAAGAAGGCACATAGAAAGCAAAGCATTAGGCCTTTGAAAGAAGAGCAAGTTTCCACAGAATAGTGAATTGCAGGGCTCTTGGATTTCTAGTTCTTAAAGTTGTAACCAGATTCCAGTACAATACATCCTAATTTCTACTCAAATTTCTGATTTCCTCCACTTCTAGAAATGGACTCTACTAAAGTCCATTTCCTTGCCTCTCCTCAAAATTAACAGGAACTGATTATAAAACTTCCCAAACACAGATTTAAGTACAAGTTCAACTCCTGTATCCTTCAGAATTAATCTAATAGTGTAACAATATATTATATTCTTTCATCAATTTACATCCTTATATAATGTATTTATTTTTACCAGCTGAGTAGCTGAACACACTGGGGAGGACTTTGCTGATGCAGGAAACTCATCCCAGAAGAAAGAGACACCTGAGAGCTGCAGTAATTTGTGAGCAAAAGCTGTGGGCTGGTGAACATTAATTCCAGAGCACTCATCTGCAGTTTCATCACAGTACATAGTTCTGGGAGGCAAAAGAAAGGAAATTAAGACAGTGGGTGCATGAAAATTGTTACTTCTCCTTGTGCCTTTTAACCTTTCAGTTTGTACATGGTCTCTCTCTTCACACTTTTACAGTGCTGTCCACTGTCATGAAATGAAAACCCAATACTCTCTGGGAATTGGTGAAAATCTTAACTTTTCTATGGGACACCACCAGAAATGTGAACATTCCCCAGAGAACACACTAATCTGAAGCTTATTAATGCTTAAAACTAAATATATTTCATTAGCAATCCTTGGTAAGCATCAGTTTTATTTGATGCTGATCTCAATACTTTGCAAGAAAGCATGATTACACTCTCCCATAGGTTGAAAATAATCTACATTAAGAACATGTACAGTATTCATGTTCAAAGTAATTACAGGATTCACATGGGCTCTTTTGAAAGCTCACACAGAACCTAAATTCTTTCAGGATTTTGGGATTTTTTTCAGGACTGTGCCTTTTTTTCTAAAAAGATTTAAAGTGTCTTACTCAAAGGGGTCAGTTCCCTTTCTAATTGTACACATGGCCTGACTGGCCAACAATATACACTGGCTGTTGAATGTCTGAGAAATGTTATTCATTAACTGTAGAAGTTGATGAAAATGTATATTGGGAAAAAAAAAAAACTCTTCTAATTTGATTTAAATAACTTTAGCATAAACATGCTAAGTGGAATCTGAGTGAAGACAATGCTCACTAGCAAGTGTCTAACTATATGCTAAGAATTGTCTGTATGAGTAAAATGGTAAAATGTATTTTACAGAAAATGGTAAGAAGTCCCTTAGGGAAAAAAAATCCACATATTAAAAAAAAATTTTTAAAAAATTACCTTTCAACTCTGATTTCAAGTGCAGTTCCACTTTTAGAGTTTTCTGGCACATGTTCTATTCGTAACACAGTATCCAAAAAGGTAACTTTCACTCTTCTTAGAACTTAAAAGGGAAAACAAAAAAATACAGTGTAGACTGTTAAGTCAACTTACTGATTACTTTTGTAACCACATTAAATGGTCTTTGATTTTAAGCTCTCAATATTTATTTCAGTGGAAATTATCAATTGAGTTGAATAAGGTAACAAGACTTCAACAGAGAATATAAAGTCCTATTAATGACCAGTATGTATATCCATAGCATACAACTACTCTCTAAGGCTCAGACATTTGAGTCAGTGACAGTACAAACCAAGTTTTCCTGTAGCTCAGTGTGGATGATCCTCAAGGAAGGTAACATCTTCCTTGTGCACCATATCTAAACTATTAAGCATTGCTGCAGCAACATGCTGCCTGGACTGAGTAGTTCCATCTCCAGATGGGACTTTAAACATTTCCCTTAGCTCAGACATTTCTGCACGAGGTTCTCCACCACATAATGTGATCATATGCCCTTAGTTTTGTGCACTTAGAAAAACCACCTCCAACAAAAACCTGTTTCTGAAGTACTTCTATCAATGTGGTGTGATTATGGAGATGCATACAACACAACAGGTCAGCTTTGCACAAACACAGCTGAAGAAACTTTTTCCACTTCTCTTTCAACAATATCACTATTAGCAATTGATAAATTACACAGCCATCTCCAAAACTAAGACATGTCATCAATCCCTCAGGCATAGATTTATCTGGATTAATTCTGCTGAAAACAAACACCAACTTGCCCTGAGACAGAGCTCAGTCTGTCCACTGAGGGAAATATACAAATACTTTAGGAACTAAATGGGGCTTTTTTCCCCCACTTCAAAATCAAGATCACTTGTACAGCATTCCTCTTTAGATTTTACAAGCAATGCTAACAAGTGAAAATTAGTCATATAAGTTATGGCAGTTGAGATGCCATTTTGCAAAACTGAGACACAACATAAACCAATTAAATCTCAGATGTTAATTCAAATCTCAATAATTGATTCATACCTGTTTCAATAGTTTCTGCAAATTTCTCAAGTCCTTCAAAAGGCTGGGACCCTTCTCCTTGTTCATCTGTCAATTTTTGGCTAAGACACTCTTTTGCAAGCTGCATACTACTGGTCATAAAACTTGACCAATACATAGGCTCAGAACCAGATGCTGTGAAGTAAAATAAGTCTTAATAAATTAAACGTGGACTTCATGAAACTATAAAGACAAAACACACCAATATATTTGGCACATCTAGAAAAGAGTTTCAACAGCTTAGTAAGAAGTTATACTTAAAAACAAATTTACTTATAATCTCTCATTATCGACTTTGCTACTTTAAAATTAATGTAATCTGTTACACTGCACTGGTAAGATTCTGGTATTTGAAAACTCAGTATAAACAAGAAGAAATCAGGTAATCAACAGTGTAATCAATTTTCAGCAGTGGTTTAACTAATTTAAGCAATTAAATAATTTCTGGAATTCTTTTACTATATTGGTATATTTTTGTAGGCATAATTGGAAAAATGAAGTAAGTAAAATTTTAAAGAATTATTTCAAAGTTTCTTATTCCTCTTGAAATATATCCTGCATGGAGAAACACTAAGCAAAGTTTAAAATCTTATCTTAGCACATTAAAACATGTTTTAAATGCCTAACACAGACCTGACATAATAAGTAAAACATAATAAAATCCAAAAGCACAGCATGTATTAAGCTGAACAAGTTTTTCATCTGCCAGATTAACTTAATTGACAATGCATTCCTATCAGCTAATGCCAAGGCCATTGTGAGCAAATACTATAAAACTACAGATTAGAAAAGTTAAACAAATTCAACTATCACATTCTAGTACAGGCAGACAAAAATAAAACTAGCTCAAATACAAGTGTGTTACAACAGGCAAAACATTTCAGTTAAGCATTCAGGTCTGGAAACCTCCACATGGCTATAGATGTGTGACAAAACCAGCACCATGGGGTTTTTTTCTACACTGTTTGGTCTATTATAAAGCACTGTACATCAAAGAGAACTACTGGATGCAGGTAAAGAAATAAAGGTTTCTTCCTAACACTACCATTCCTTCAAAGCAATAATCTTACATCAGAAAGTAACATAGCTCAAAACTTAATTCCAGTTAAACAACTACAGATTAAATGTAGAGTACATCTAAGCAAGTAAGTCATTTAAGGTAACTAGCAAAAGATGAAAAATAGGTTTTACACATTTTTTTTCTTCTTCTTATGTTTAAAAAATATTTTCTTCCACCTTCTCTACACTACAAGAAAGAAACCAAATTAAAATCCTTCAGGCATTCAAACAATTTTCACAACTAAAAATGAACTGTGTGTTCCACAGAATTTATGGAAGCTTGATGACCAGTAAAAATTTATCACCAGGACAATCTAAACTAGATCAGTAACAAGCATGTGGATACAGACAAGCTAGAAGAACATTATAATCAAAGTTAGTATGTATTTAGAGTATTCAGAAGTCATTATTTCACACTGCAATGGCAATTAAATTGCATTTTTTGTTCTCTAAACATACAAGAAGATGCATCCTTTAGCCTGAAGTAGACAAAGACAGAACCTCCCCAACACCCCCCCAAGGCTTACACCATGATGTTGTCCTGCTGCCACCCAACAGCCAGCTACTAACACTGCCTCACAGAACTGCACAAACAGCACCCAAAAACTCCTTCCCACACTTCCATTTCCATAGGTCTGAAAAAGCTTGGAAGACATACAACAGTAGGAAAATTATAACCATTTAAAATTATTTAACAGAGCAACAACTAATTGAGTAGACAACCAACTGACAAACACCTGACAGTTTCTTTTTTTATAACTCTCAATCATTAATGTATGTAATAATGTATGGAAGCTAAATGACAATTTAAATAAGGCCAAGAATTGACTAAAGCAAGGGCAGACTTTTGACTCTGAAAAACTGTAAAGAATCTCCTTTCCTAAAATCAAAAAAATAAGCCTACCAAGCCTTGGTCTTGGCCTGAAGACCATCTCTAATCCTTTCACTTCTAATGCACAGTTATCCTGCAGCAACGACCCCCACGGGACAGATAAAGAAATTGATTGGATAAATCCATCTGTGACTTCCAGAGGTGCATCAGCAGACTCCAGGATCTCATTAAGACACTAGAAAACAATAAAATAAAAATTAAAAATCATTAGTTTTTTTTAAATCATATCCATAATTTTGCATCTAACAAATAAAAACACTTTGATGCTACTAGAAAATTAATTATACTAAGACAAAAAAATAGACACTTTCAACTATTTCAATTCCATACTACCTAGTTTTCAGAATTGCTCTGTGGTGGCTGTATATAATCTGTATTTTTGCACTATACAAAAAAAAAGTCTGCTAACTTACTCTTATAAATACAAGAATACTAACAAAAGTTAATCTGTTTTTTCTTTGGCAGTACTTGAAGAAAACTGAGAACAGGCTGACAGTAAAAGCACAAAAAGTACTTAGTTGCTATGACAGGACTATTTCATAGCATGTAATTGCAATGTAAAGTTCATTTTTGATGTGACAGTGGACCCAAACAATCCCCTCTTGCTGTGTAACATACTTGCCATTTCTACATCATATTTTTATAGTAGCAGTATAAACACTGCTACATTCAAGATGCCCAAAGTATCATACCAGCTCTAACACAGTAATTTAGGATTTTCAAGTTTTCCACAATCCTCAGAAGACTCTCCTATTGCTCTATAAAGGTTTCATTACATCCATACACATTAAACATATTCTTCACACTTAGGCTAATAAAAAAGTGAGTTCCTGCCTGTGCTTTGATTTTAAAATGTAGTTAAAACTTAAGTTCTTAGACAAGAAGTAGTTAGGCTTTAATGAAGCAAATCCCAATCTTATTCACATACTATATCCAGAGAGTGCAATTTTCTAATGTAAACAAGACCCTACTAAAGACAGTGGTTGTAATAATAGGACATAATCTTTAACTGGCAAGAAAAAGTGTGGTTTTGACCTTGCTGAGTTTTGAACAAGGCTACTGATTTTACCTAAGAAAATGCTTAAATTCAACATCATAAGTTTTGAAAAAAACAAGGATTTAAAAGTTCTTTGCCATTTTAATGGTATTTAAAATTATATTCCAATTATACAGAATAATTTTAAAATTTTAAATTTCTGAAAAGATAATTTCTTTATTCTTATATCTCCAGATGCAACTTTCCCATCACATTAACTTGTTGCTCTCAATAACCTTGCCTTTAGAATTTTGTTTGCCTTGCATGTTCAGCTTTTCTGTTCCAAAGTCCACTCAGGCAGCAGAAAATTACAAACTTTAAAGAAACAGAACCTGAATAGTCCATTGGAAAATTATTTAGGAATCAAATAATCAACTAAAATTCAATTATATTAAAATTTTATAAAATAAATAATAGCTCAAAAGCTCAAAAAGCTCATATTGAACCTACATTTAAGAATTATACATGTGTCAAGAGCATAAGATAAGGCAAAAAAAATATTAGAGATGAAAACTGTGTTTTAAAATACCACATGTTGATTTAAATTATTTGAATGAATTTACAAATAATTTGCTATAGCAGGAAGTAAGCTAGCTACCATATTTTGAACAAATCTGACTGAGATGTCTTTTTGCTACCCATGCACATAAAAAGTCAGTGTATTTCAGTATACTGCTTATTATTTTAAAATAGAAATTTACTATCTAAAAGCAAAAAAGAATGAAGCACTCTTGAGCTAAATTGCTTCATAAATAGGCCAGCTGTTCCTAGAAGGAAGTAATTAGAGCATTCCAAGTGAAATTTTAAAACTGAAACACAGCCTTCACATCAGGACTTGTTTCCACATTATTGACCAACAGTCCACAAAAGTAGTATTTCATGTATACTAAAATTCAACCACAAACATCATCCATTCCATTTTGATACTTCTGAACAGCCCACACCCCAAAAAGCATGGGCATTATATTAATAGCCTCAGGAATTCCTAGATATCTCTACAAATAAACACATACAATGTTGGCTAAACTATCTACAGTGCTGAAATGAACAGAAATGTCTGCAAAAATGGATGTCATGTAAAAATACAGTCATCCTGGTGATTCATTGAGAACAAGGTTACAATGACTAGGGGGGAAAAAAAGAGCTGTAGTACTTCCGTGACATCTGCTTTTGCAATCTGTCATACATGAGAGTCACGTGCTGAGAGCCTCAAACATGTAATTGTTTACAAGGGGAACAGAAAAATGCTGATCCACAAATGGGGAAGATCAGCTAAGCATTCCAGCATATTCATTTAATCACTGTGTATTTCACCTAGTACCGACCCCTAACTGCTTTGTTACAAAGTATTTTACATTTTAAATAATATCACTCTGACTCGCAAAGAGAGCTCGATACCCACTAGAGGGCATAACAATTCAATTAAAGCGAGGCAGCCTCACTGCAAGCCTGCCACAGAAAACAAGCTACAGACACGGCCAGAAAAGAAAAGAAGGAAATAAACAAGCAAACAACAAAAGAAAGTCCACACTCAAACACTGGTAACATTGAGCATTTCTGAAGCGTCTGTCCCCTACCACTTTCGAACATATTGTCAACTAACAACATTAAAAACCATTACCTCTAAACATCATATATTTACAAGTATTTTAAAATGTACCCTGCGTGGCCTAATACCAGTACATACTGTAATAAAAATGTGGTTTGGAAAACATTAAAGCAAAGGACCTAGCTCGTCATCTACACTACCCTGGAAGTCAGTGACTGATTCACTGCAGTGCTTAATCTCCACAAGACACACTCGACTGACAGGTAGAATGCAGTAATCTTGGAAAGTAAACCAAGAACCTTTACAAAATATTATAAATACAGTAATCCAAAGGTCTGTCTCTAGAGTAGCCTAGAAATATAAATACCTGTGTAGAGACACACACGTATAGAAAAACATACATGCCAGGACTGGAGTGTGACAGGCCACCTGCTGAGCAAACTCCAGCTAAAATCAGCTTTCTTTTTGTCAACAAGTACCTTCACCACTACAAGACGAGGGGACAATCTTTAGAGAACTACACAGACAAAGCTCAGCATAACACTATCATTAAGAACGAATATGTCTCCAAGACAAAGACAAAGCATAGATACCACAGGGATTACTTTGTTTTCACCATCTCTAGCAGTCAGTAAACATACTCATTAACTACAGGGATTTCTGGAAGTTTGGGGTACACTAGCTCGTTCTCCCTGAAATATCAGCAGCTATTGCCTTCTTTCAGTTTTTGTTTCTTTTCTCATAATTAAAAATTACACAATCGAAGTGTGGCTAGAAAAACGTATCTGTAACAAATGCCGAGATTTTTTTTTCTTTACTGTTAGCATATCAGACAACAGTTCCCTGGATTAAATGCTAATTATGGTTACAACTTTTTGCACAGAAGAGGCTGGGTATTGAAAATGAAGTGGGTGGCAGCCGGGGGCAGAGAATCAGCTGGTCCCTCAGACGCCGCAGGAGCCGAGGGGGTGAAGCGCCAGCATCTCTTACCCACTTATCCAGAGGGACCTGCGTCAAGGAGCCGGTGCCCTGGTAGAGATCCAGGCTGAGCTGTTCCAGGCTGAGCTTCTCCTGCAAGAAGTGGCCCAGGTACCTCTGCAGCAGGTACCTGCAGGCTCTCTTCTTGATGGACTCCGAGAAAGGCCACGGCATGGCGGCTGCACGCCGGGGGCCGCGAGGCCGGGCGGCGGGACGGGGCCGGGCGGAGAGCGGAGGCGCGAAGCAGCTGAGTGGGGTCGCCAGGCCAAGCCTCGCCCCTCGGCGCGGGCTACGGCGGGGGCTCCCCACTACCGGGCGGCACCGCCGCCGCCCCTCACGCCCCGGCGGGGCGGCACTGCCCGCCCTAGGGCGAAGAGGCGCTGACAGGCAGCTCCATCCTCACTCGGACACCGCCGCCATCTTCTCGGGCGCGGAGGGGCCGCCGCAGCCGCGCTGCGCGGGAAGGGGCCGGGGTCCGGCGGGAGGGCAGCCCCTGCTCGTCAGCTCCGCGCCGCCGGCGAGGGCGGCCAGGCCGATCGCGGCTGTTCGTCCCCTTCCTCCCGGCGCCCCCCCGCCGACCACCGGCACCGTGACGTGCGGGAAGTGGCGTCGCCGCGCGGAGCAGGCGGGGGCGGAAGCGGCCGCGGGAGGGGCGGTGCGGCCGGAAGGCGTCGTGCAGCCGGTGGCGCCGGGGCCGCCTCTCCGGGGAGCGGCCCGGGAAGCAGCGGGGCGGGCGCTGTCCGCCGAGCGGGGCAGAGCGGCGCGGCGGGCGCGTCCGGAGCTGTGCGCGGTCGGGCGGCGCGTCTTCGACGCCCATCGACGCTGGTGGGTGCGCTCCGGGGCGCGGCAGGGATGCGGTCCCTGGGTGCGGGAGGCTGCGCAGCTCGGTATCCCGCTCCCCTGTTGCCTTCAGCTTCTTTTGAATTTGTTTGTGTGTCGGCGGTGGGATTTGGCAGGAAGCGGCGGATCCCGTGGAGTGAATGTCCCTCACGTTGCGGATCGGTGACTGCAGCCCCCGTTTCCTGCCGGCAGCAGTGCTCAGCTGCCGGAGCTCTCGGGCAGCGTCCCGAGCGAGGGGCTCTCTCTCCCTGCTGCCTCCGGCGGTTCCACAGGTGTCGGCCGAGGCCTCCTGGCCACACTGGTACCCGCGGGGCCTCTGCCGGAGCCGCGGCGGTGACCCCGCTGGGGCTGCCCCTTTTGGTACCAGTTGCTCGCAAAGAGCAGCAGCCAGTGTCTCTGAAATGTATCGGCAGTTGTGCGCTGAACAGGAGCTTTATTCTTTAGTGACTGTAACAAACAGCTGCCTTTAGTTCCTAAGGTCTCTGATAACCCATTTCGTTCATAGATTTTTGTAAGTCTTCCTTATATGCACCAACAGTAGGTTTTTCTTTTCTGCAGCTATTGATTTTGTTTTTTCCAGGCATGACTTGTATTCCTCCTACATTCTGCATCAGCAAAGGGTAGAATTAATGACCACTGAATCTTAAGAGTCCTATACCACAGAATACAAGTTAACTTGCCTGAGAAAAACTGGCCTCAGTGATACTGATACCACTTCTAAATATTCATGTAAACTTCTTCAGCACTTGTTCTGAAGATCTTGTGTTTGAGTTCTCTAGACTCTCATTTCATGAGTTTGGAAGTCACTGGGTCTCATAGTTTCTTTTTTTTTTTTGGACAATGTTAAATACATCTGTTTAAAGTATAACTTGTGGTTTATAGTGTTATTATCTATTGAGTACAGTGTTATAATAAGTCTAAAATAAATGTTTTTATATGCAGGATGGAGACTGATTGCAATCCTATGGAGTTGCCCAACAATACAGGTTTTGAAGAGGATTCTGATTATAGAGACTTCGAAGGAACAGACGTGAAAGATATGAGACTAGAAGCTGAAGCTGTTGTAAATGATGTTTTGTTTGCTGTCAGCAACATGTTTGTGTCAAAAACCCTTCCCTGTGCAGAGGATGTGGCATACATCAATGTGGAAACCAGGGAAAGAAACAGATACTGTCTGGAGCTCACTGAAGCAGGACTCAGGGTAAGCTAATTTTTGTAATTTCTTAAACTTCTTTGTTTTGAACAATGACCGTATTCAAAAGGTGCCTAGAAAAATACTTCACTGACAACCACACATATTCCTCTTGTACTTTTATGAAAGCCTGATCCACATGTTTTCTTCTAGAAGAGGGAACTTTAGCTAGTTACTTCCAACAAAGCAAGAAGGGAAGTTAATAAAAAAACAGGAATTTATTTAAGACACAAAATGGCGGAGATAGAATCAGTAATTTGTTACAGCTATGTCAATCTTCGGGTTTCTCAGGTACCCAAAGAAGTCAGTAATACAACATCTATACAATTTTTTTTTTTTTACCATTTGTAATTTTTGTACAGACATGTAGATATGAGACTTCTTTTCAAAGGATGTATTTTACTAACATTCTGAGTTTTGGTCAAAAGTTATTTGAAAATCTCTTAAATACTGTATAACCAGTAAGCTCCATAGTAGAAAGCAGAGACTGCGATTTAAATTCAGGATTTTTTGTTCTTACAAAGCATTGTTCTGTACTACCCTGACTGGCAAAGTTAAATGTTGTTCTACATGTACCAAGGTGATCATCACCACAGAAATTTAACCACCCAATTCTTTGTTGCAGGTAGTAGCTTATGACTTTGATCAGACTGATGATAGACTGCAAACTCCGTATCATGAAACTGTCTACTCTTTGTTGGACTCTCTCAGCCCTGCATATCGAGAGGTGTTTGGAAATGCATTACTACAAAGGCTAGAAGCTTTGAAGAAAGAAAGTCAGTCATGACTTACCCAGACATGAGGAAGATTCAGTGCTGGAAGGAATTCTTAGTATGAAGCACTGAGATCTTCCTTACAAACATCTTAAGCTTCATTTCTTGGATTAAAGTCTACTTCATGTTACTACATTATTATATAACATTTATATGTTATAACAAGGATATTATATAACATTTTGCTACCATGGTTTTGCATATATCTCAATGTTATTAAAAGCCACTTTGATAAATAGCAGAAAAAATTCTTAATTTTTACTTTCTGTTGTAAATGAGCATGTAAGTTGCTCCATACAATGTTCAAAAGCCTTGGTCTCTTTTCCAAGTCTTAGTATCCAAAGTAAAAAAATAGAGACTTAATGTTATAGATATAAGTAGTAATTCTTTGTATGTGTGCTTACTGATAATTTTCATGCCTTCTTTTTAAAACAGAAGGTAACTACTTGCTCTACCCAGTTAATGAAAAAATTACTGGAAAACTTCTGCAAGGAATTCCTGCTTGATTTGCTATACATAAATCTGAAAGTTGTCAGCTTTCTAGCTAGAAAGATAGTTCTTCAACAGTTGAGCATTGCTTGTATAGCGGCAGTATCTGAGTTAAAAGCAAGGCTCAGCATTAACTGATCTGTACTTGTCTATGGCAGCCAGCAAGCTCCAAATAATACATGAGATGAACTGCTTATATATGAATGTATTGTCTGAAACACAAATGATTAAGCACAGAAATAATGGGCTACACATTTCCTAAAAATGATGTTATCTATGCTATAAATATGTACTGCAACTGTTTGAGAGGCTTGGAAGGCCTGTTTACTATTTTGAATGTGTATTTACATGATGTACAGGATATACTCAAGAGTATTTTTGCTTTACTTTCTATAATACAGTACTTTGGTACTCCCAGTTTTCACGTTTTCTCCCTCAATTGTACAGCATCCTCTCCTAATGACTACTAAAGTAAGCACTGTAATGTTAATTGCATTGTATTGGTTTGAAACCAAAGGCTGTATTGAAATTTGCTAAGACTAATACAAGCTGGAAGATATAACTTGTATTTTCTACTTAAAAACTGGTACAACTCTCTTTATAAATCTATTGTTCTGCTATAACTTTTCAAGTATGTACTGAATGGTAGACTTTTTAAAAATTAGAGTTGGGTGGAAATGCTTGTACAGTTGAACTGACGTTCTGTGACATTCACACTTTTTGTATTCTTCTATTATTCCTATATTTGTGTGTCTTTATTTAAACAATGCCATTATTCTTCTATGATTTTGTGACAACTACATGCAGTAGCTTTTTTGGAGCCACATTTAGGGATTTATTGGTTCTCACAGATTCCAATGACTTCAGTAGAGCTATGTTGGCTTCTACCTGCTATGGTTAGTCATATGGATCAGACAAGCCTACCAGAGCATTTGTAATGGCTTTGAGTTAGCAATGTGCAACTATGACAGGACAACTGTAATTAGTGCTTCTGTTTTCGAGAGCTTAATTTCATGATTATTATCTTTTTGGGTTGAAATTTCTGAAACTAGTCCACTGCCCTAGGGTATGCCTTCATGCTCCAGAAATTGTTCATAGGCTCTCTTTTGCACACAGGTCTGTGGCACGTGGTTAGTCCTCTGTGAGGAGAATGTACTTCAGCAAATTTATATTTGAATATTTTTCCTTGCAACTGATTTACTTGTTCAATTTCAATGACTAAAGAATTAAATAAATGGACCGGTGTGTTGAAGTTTTCTTGTGGGGGGTGGAGCTATTGTAAAGTTGGAAGTGAACAACTGAAATCATCATGCCCTGTGGACTATTTGGAAAACTGGTTGCAAACTTCTATCAGCTGAAACTTTGTCATGAAACAGCAAGGCAAGGTATGATATGTGATTGTAAAGGACTTGGAGTGTTAGAAATCCAAGTGGAAAAATGCCAAAGTAATGTTTCATTACTAAATTTTGGGGTTTGTTTGTTTGGGTTTTTTTGTTTTGGAGGTCTTTACGCTGTCATTTTATGTGCTTATTATAAGCATACTTTCAGGTATTTTGTAGGTGTTAACAGAAGAGACTTGTGCTATTTCTTTAACTATATTACAGTCGTAGTATAACACGGTGTTAACCCAAAAGTGGGACAGCAATGTCATTCCACCACTTCTGGGTTACTGAGGATGAGCAAAATGCTGTCCCATGCCTGTGCTGGGGCGTTGCTGCCCCTATGGAGGGAACGTCTGCAGCAGAGGAGGGACAATCTCACGTCTCCTTCGGCTGCCAGTGGTTTCCATTGTCCGGAGCGCTGAATAAGTGCTGCTGCTGTAGCCGTTAGTCTGTGAATCGCCTAGACAGCCCCATAGCCTGCCTGCTGGCCGAAAGGCCGGCGGATAACCCAATTACCATCTCTTTTTGTCTCGGCAGTGCCACACGCGCATCGCGCCGTTCCGACAAAGTCCCAGACTGAGGGGCCGGGGCTGTCCCGGGCCGGGCCCGGTACCCACAGCGCCTGCGCGCAGCGCGCGACCACCGTGCCGGGGCGGCGCTACGGGCGGCGCGCCCCCAGCGGCGGCCGGGGGAAGTGCGGCCGGCGGCGGTCGCGCGGCAACGGGCCGCGTCCCGGGCTGGGCCATGGAGGAGGAGGAGGTGCCGCGGGGCCGCCGCATCTTCCTCAACCACCTCGACTCCTACTGCGGCCGCAGTATCGGCAAGGTGACCACGGGGAGGGCCCGCAGCTGCTCCCGGCCGCGGCTTCGTCCTGCCCCAGGCACCTCCGCCCGCGGGGGAGTCGCGGCTGGTGCC